ATTCCCCACACCCTTTACAGACCAGAAGGTCGCAGCTAGCTCGTGGCAGTCTCAGCCCTATTTCTCAGGTGAGAGGTCTTCTCAAAACTGAAGGCACCGTTCACTCAGGTCACGGAGAGCAGGGTCGGTTCGCGGATGAAAAGTGAAGGTTGGAGGAACACGTCAAGGTGCGGAAGAAGGGAAACCCTCCCCCACCCCGCGCCAGTCGAAGACCCAGACGGAGCCTCAGGCCCAGCCCTCCCTCCTCTCTTAGCGTTCCGGGTCTTTCTCTCCCTTCCAGCTTTGGGACGGATGACCGCGGCGAAACCAAAACGGAAAATGAATAAACTAAGGTGCCACCGGAGATCTACTTGAGAAGTAACCCGGGGGCGGGGTGGTCACCGGAAGTGGCTGTAAGGCCTCTGTCCCTACAAGGCCCCGCCTTCAATTGCGCTACCAGTAGGCGACAGACCGCCCCCACTTCCGGCCCCTGGCGCCTTAGCCAGCGGCCCCCCTTTTACTGTTCTCCCATTGGCTACCGCAGGGACGCGCTGTGATTTCCCATTGGTCGCGTCTCCTCTCCCGCGCCGCGCCTCCTCCCTCCAGGTACAGTCTCGTCTTCCGGCACCCGATAGGCTAAAGGCTGGGAGGGCGTCTGCCCAACTTGACCAATGAGCGGCGTGAAGAGTGAGGGCGGCGGCTGCGTGGTGGGGGGCAGGGCGGGACTTGGTGTGGCTATTGGCCAGGGTGGGCACAGGCCAGAGATAGGATTGGCTGGGGAGAGGGGCACCGTGGTGGGGTCGAAGCTGCGCGGCCTCCGCAGCTGCGGGAGACGGAAGTAGTGAGAGCGCGGCCTCGGAGGGTCGGGCGGACGCCACCTGGGTGAGTCACCGTGCCCCGTGCACTGCCAGTTTTGGAGCCACAACGACCGCGTCTTGCCCGGCCCCGCCCCGGCCCCACCGGCTTTCGTGAGCCCCGCCTTCTGTCATTCGGGGCTCCGCCTCCGAGTCTTTAGGCTCCGCCCCTAGAACCTGGGTACCTGGGCTCCCCTGTCAGCCTGACCCCCCCCCCCCCCCCCCCCGTGGCCAGATCACCTAGGTCTGGGAACCCTGGGCCTCCCAGGCCTGTCCTCGTCTCTCCCTCTCTCCGTTTCCCTGAGGCTGCTTGCCAGTGGGCGGTGAGGCAGCACCTCTGGCTTGCAGCTTGCTGGCTCCCCCATGGGGAGGGTGGGCTGTGATTACGGAGGCAGGTAGGGCCACAGATGGAGACTTTTATCCCCACAGCCTTCTGCGGGGCACTGCTGGACTGTCCCTGAGCTCGGATAGCAGGCATAAAGAAAAATGTCAGTGAAACCTGGGCCTGGTTCCCTAAGTGGTTCCCTAAGTGGGCCAAGGAGGCCCATCCTGACATTTCTGTTGCTTGGGCCCATTTGACAGGTACTGACTCTGAGGCCTGCACTGGCCTGATTCTGTCCCCGTTGTGTGGCCTCCTCCCACTAACCTGCACCCCACTTGGTGTCAAGTACACTCAGCAAGGCATGTCCAGCCCTGCTGCCGTCTGATCATAGGTTGTGGTCCCCTCCCTCTTGTCCTCTGCTCTGGACTCTGCCCCCAGCAAACAGGTCAGGTGGGTGCTACTCCCAGACTCAGAGGCTGGCAGAGCGCTCTTGTGGATTCACGTTCCCACCAGGGCCAGAAGTGAGCCCTGGTTGGGCAGCCTCTCTCTCTTCAGAGTTGGCAGTTCTTTTGCTCTCCCACAAAGAACAGGGTTTGGAGTGTTTTACTTCTCTTTCTGGGACTGGGAATCAGGACTCTTGAGTCCTGCTCCAGAACTTGATGGCTGCCTTCATGCCCTGCAGAGTCGCTTGTTGCCTTCTCCTCACGTAGCTCCCATTGCCTCTGTCTAGCATGGTGACTTGTGGAGAGGCTGGATGCTCTGCGAGGAAGGCAAATAAGAGTTGTGGGGAAGTTCAGGAGTAGATGTGTGGCATTTGTTGATTCTATGGTGATGTTAATGTTGCTCTTTATGCTTATGTTTCTCGGGCTCTACAGTGAGAAGCAGGTAGCCAGGACCCTCACCACGGTAGAATGGTGAGTACGCTTTCCTCAGACCACTGTGTTTTCTGTAATCCTTGTGTCTTTCTCCATGAAGCTGCCCGCCCCTCCTGGACCTTGAGCTCCAGGCTACTCTGTTCAGCAACTAAGCAGGTTCATCTGCCCTGGAGATAAATTAGGGCTTCCTTAGGTTACAAAACATCAGCCGACATACAGCACGGGGACGGGAAGCCTCTAGACGTCTTTTTCTGTATGTGCTATGCCATGCTTTCCCCACACTACCACTGGCTCCCTTAGCTCTTCATAATGGCCCTTCTCTTGCCTCTCCTGGTCCCTGGGTGAAGCTCTCTGTTCTGGTCTGAAAAGCAAGGGCTCCTTTATATCAAGATCCTTGTACTTCCTACTGGGTCCCTTGAATATTGTGGGTGCTGTATCAGGAGCGACTCCACTAAAACTGTGGGGCTTCTCTACCTCCAAGGTCCTGCTGTCTGTTAAACTACTTTAGGCAACAGCTGACTGAATATATAGCAGGAGAGCACCCTCAAGGTGCCCAGAATATCACTGGGGGCGGTGTGTGTGTGTATGTGTATGTGTGTGTGTGTGTGTGTGTGTGTGTGTGTGTGTTATAATGATCCCGTAAAATTTCCACTAACTGTAACTGCCCTTCTTTCACCCCAAGTTCAGGGAACCCCTTAACCCCTGAGAGCTGGGAAGAAGCAGTGAGATGAGAAGGGAGTGGGGAGCTACAAGCCTGGGTCCAGACCAGGTCCTTGCTCTGGCTGTATCTCTTTATTTCTTTCACGTGTCCCCTGTGCTTAGGGACAGGTCAAGGCATTCAGTTGGTGAGAGGACTCGCTCTTTTCCTCCACAGACACATGGGTGTGTGGGGTGTGCAGTATTGTTCTGGTCTCTTCTCAGAAAGCCCGCTGGTCCTGACCCCCACCAACTGATAGCCCCTTTCCTTTTTCTCTTCTGTGATACACTGAAAAGTCAGCCTGGTCTAATTTTGAATTCTAGCACCACCACTTAAGTACTTTAGGTGAATTGCATACTTTCTCTGTAAGCCTGAAGTCTAATTTCTTTGGGAGTTGAATGGTTTTAGTGAGATAATGTTTGAAACATGTCCGGCTCATAGTAGGCGCTTAATAAAATGTCAGGTTTTTCTCCTATTCCTCCCTTCCCCCAAGACCAAAACCGAAACAAAAGCCCTGGTTTCTGAAAGTTACCAGGGACAGGGAGTGTGGGGTTCCAAACGGTTCCTTCTGTGACTCTTGGTGACATTTTGAGCCTCTTATCACTGCCCCTTATTCTCTGGCCCTCTACCCAACTCCCTCCCTCCTCCATGAGTTTTGTTTTTGCATAGCTTCTGCGGTCCATAGTTCCCGCACTTCTCTTTCCCAGCCTAAGAAATTCTTTCTCCAAGAAGGACTTTCTTACCCAGAAGACACAGGATGTGAAACAAGGGGAGAGGAGGAGCTGAAGAAGTAGGGCTGGGCAGGGACCTTGGAATAAAAAACCCAGAGAATTTCCCTCTCAGGAGTGTGTAATGACCAAACTGGCACTAGACCAGTGTCCATTCTAAGGGGCAAAAAGGGAGTGGAATTAGTGAGGTCAGGGGACTGGAGGACACTGATGGACTGGGGAATGGTGAGTGGTGGTTTTGGAGGGAAAGGAGGAAGCCTAGAAACTAGAAAGGGCCTCGGGTGGAGGGAGGTGAGCCTCATCCTGGGAATCCGAGCAGGCACTGGGGGGACTCAAAGAGGAGGGGAGGGCGTGGGGACAGACGTCTGAAACAGTGGTGTGGGGTGGCTCACGTGGGAAGATGGGAAATGAAAAGATGTAGGCGGTCCTGCCGCCCCCTCCCACGCCGTGGGGGGGGGCGGGGCAGTCCCGCAGCCCAGACTCCTGGGAGCCCCTAGGAGCCCGCCGAGGACGCGCTCCCACGCCGCGGAGGGGTGGTGGGGAGGGAGGAGTAGGGGGCTGTGGGAGGGGCCCGGGGACCCGCCCCGCCCCCGCCTTCCCGGCGCGGCAAGGTCGGGGAGCTCCCCTCGCCTGGGCGGAGCTGGGCTCGCTCCATTGTGGAGAGGAGGGGAGAGGCGCGCGCCGAGCACCGCCGCCCGCGCTCGCCTCCTGGCCGCAGCGGCTGCACCTGGCCGGCCCCGCAGCCGGGATGCGGCGGACGCCCGAGACTGGCGGGCAGCGCAGCGGCTCCGGGGACATGTGCGCTGGCCCAGACCGCCCGCGACCATGAGCCTGACCGCCCGCGTCTCCTGCTCCATGCTCAGCTGCTTCGTAAGTGCCGGCCCCGCCTGCGGCGGGCCGGGGACCCCGACGCTGGCTGCACCCGCCGCCCTTCCCAGGGCCGGCCCTTGAGATCCCGAATTTCAGCCCATCCCCCTTACCAAGGGCCCTGGCAGGGGAAGGGACATAGTCCCTTTTCTTTCTTGGACTTGCTTTAATCTTCGGGTGCCGGGGATTGTCGAAGGCCGAGGATTGGAATTCTGTGACCCATCATTTTAGCCCTGAAGCCGCTGCCCTTGACTGCAGATCTTCAGGCCCCGCCCTGCAGGGGTACATCCCTTTACCTCCGCCTCTCCATCTTGGGCCCACCCGCTGCATCCTTGCTTGGGGATGTGGGATGTGGCTAGTAGGCCCTCTGGGATGTTAGGGGGCTGGTCGGGGAGCACAGGATGTCTGAGCTGTCTCCCTGGCTCCAGTCCCTCCCCCTTCCACCACTCCATCCCTCACCTGACACGCCTGTCTTTTCTCCTTGACTGTCCCCCAGCCAGCCTCTCTTCTCCATCTTCCCTGCCTCTCTGCCTCTGCAGGCCTCCGTACCTCTGCATCATTCCCAGGCCACCCCCCCCCCCCCCCTGGTTTCATGCTCCTTCCCCGCCCCCCCCCTCCCCCCCCTCCCATACCCCTTTCCCCCCCCCCCCCCCCCCCCCCCCCCCAGTATCTGCCAGACCTCCTCTCTCTCTCTCCCCTGGCTGTCCTGGGTCCCCTGGTTCTTCCCAGGCACGTGGATCCCCTCTTCTCCCCTCCCTCCCTGGTGGCTGGGAAAGGAGTTACTTCTGCTTGCTGTGGGTATTCCTCAGGAGTTCCCCTCAGATCAGCAGTCAGGGCAGGTTGCTTGGCAGGTGGCAGGAGCTTGTTAGCAGTGCGGGCCTAACTGGAAGAGAAGCTCAGCTCCAAAGCACATCCTCTTTTTAAAAGCATCCGTGAAGGCCCTCTAGAGGCTTGGGACTGAATCCCATGACCCACTCCTCTTTGTCTCCTTCACCCACCAGATTGAAGCCTCAGTGGAGTGGCCTCAGGGGCCTAAGTCCCCTCCCGTCTCTGTGACCAACCGCACACCTGGTTCCTGTTTCTCAGGGCAGCACTTCCCATTCCCACTTCTGTCTTACCCTTACATTCGCCTTTCTCTTCCTTCATTTTCTCTCCTTCATTTGGGAAATTAGGCTCTACAGGAGATTCCCTCTTTGAGGAGTGCAGATTCCCAGTTACTCTGTGGACCTTACTCTTCTCTTAGGCTTAAGAGGATTGAGTTCCCCCTCCACTTCACCCCTCCCACCAAACCAGGTCTCTCTTCCATTCTCTGGTGACCAGAACCTTTATAAGTGTGTATTGGGTGTATGTGGGTTTATTGAGGGGAGGGGAGCAGAATGAGGCCTAATGGGCCAGGCGGAGCCTGGTGACTTAGGGCTGAGGCCTTCCCCACAGGGTGAGGAGGGGCCCCCCAGCCTGGAGTACATCCAAGCCAAGGATCTGTTCCCCCCCAAGGAACTAGTGAAAGAGGAGGAGAATCTGCAGGTAAGGAAGAGTTGGGGGCCCAGGGTGGGTAGAGCTCCCTGCCTGGTTAAAAAACACCCTCCCTTCCCTCCCGCAACCCAAATATCTCCAAGGGGATCTAGTGTGGGAGCTCTGGCTTCCTGCTCCTTGGTCTCTGGAGGGAGGGGAGCCTGTCTGTATGTGCATTATGGAGACTTTGGCCCCAGGGAAGGAAAGGCAGCTTTCCTGTATAGCTGTTGTCTGGTGCTCTTACCATGGAGAGAACTTTTGTTCTGCCTTGGCCCAGCTTTTCCAGAGGAGATCCTACAGATCAGGGGTTGGAGAGGGGATGGAGAGGTGACTGACTTCTGGACTGAGGGCCCCTCTGCCCCTCGGCAGGTGCCCTTCACAGTGCTGCAGGGTGAGGGAGTGGAGTTCCTGGGCCGTGCAGCCGATGCCCTCATTGCCATCTCCAACTACCGGCTGCATATCAAGTTCAAGGATTCTGTTATCAACGTGAGTTTCTGTCTTGTTCTCCCACACCCAAGCCAGAATCCCTGTGAAATTCAAGGTGGGATTGCTCCAATGCTCTACTTGATCATGTTTCCAAAGAGTTGGGGTTCCCTTCTTTTTCTTATTGTCCTTCCTCTAATGGCAGGCCTATCTTTCTGTCTCTCTCACTTAATTTTCCCTTCCCCTCTCTGTCTTTCCCTCACTCTGTTGATGGCCCTTCTAGGGGCACAGTGGCTTTGTTGGAAGAGTGCCACTTACCAACTGTGTGACCTTGGTCAATCACCCAGCTGAGGTGCAATTTCCTCCTTAATAATATGGTGTGAAAACACCTGCCTTGTGGTTTCTTGTGATTATTAATTGGGGTCACATATGTAGAGGACCCAGCACCGTTACCAGGCACCTAGGAGGCCCACAGTAAATGTTGGTTTCCTTCCTTCTATTGATACACCAGCATCTGGGCGGGGGCGGGGATGAGGAGTGATGTGGAGTGGGGGGATATGAGCGCCAGTCTGCATTTCCCCTCCAGGTCCCCCTCCGGATGATTGACAGCGTGGAGAGCCGTGATATGTTCCAGTTGCACATCGCCTGCAAGGACTCCAAAGTGGTGAGGTGAGAACGACGGAGCCTCGCTCAGGTCCTCTGGCCCTAGTCTTGTCCAGACCTCTCTGCTGCAGGGTTTCTCTGGAGCAAGAAAGGAAAAATACTGCCTCCCTTTCCCCATTTGGAAGAAACAGTGAAAACCTTGTCTGGGTTGGGGGGTCAATTTTCTGATCCACAGTGTCTTGACCTAAAGAAATGGGGATAATGCTCACGGAGTTTTCATAAGGATTAAATGAGAAGATGCATCTGAGAGCACATAGGGTGATGTCTGGTGCAGAGCACTCACATTGTTGTTGGTTCATTTATTTATTCATTTAACATGTATTTATCGAGCACTCTACTCTATGCCAGACTGTTCTAAGCACTGGGGATACAGCAGGGAACAAACACACAATTTTCTGCCCTCGTGGAGCTTATATTCCAGTGGGGAGATAGGAGTGGTAAATAGTAAGTAAAATATGTTAAATCATGGTAATGTAAAGTTAAAAAGTAAAGCAGGGAAAGGGGATACGGAGTGCTATGGGGGTGAAGGTTGTAGGTTTAAACAAAGTGATCAGAGAAGCCTGCACTGAAAAGGTGACATTTGAGTCAAGACTTGAAGAAAGTGACCATGTGGGTATTTGGGGGAAGAGTGTGGCAGACAGGGGACAGTGCATGCAAAGGCCCTGAGGTGGGTATGAGCCTGGCACAATGGAAGAATGGCAAGGAGGCTAGTGTGGCTGGAGTGGAGGGCAAGTGGGTCAGGATAGTGGGATACAAGATCTGAGAGGTAAGAGGGTTATGTCAGGCTGTCATAATGACTGGCTTTTACTTTGAGGGAAGTGAGAAAACCACTGGAGGGTTTTGAGCAAAGGAGTGACGTGGTCTGTTATAGAATCACTCTGGCTGCTGTATTGAGAAAAGATGGAAGAAGGTTGGGGACAAAAGCTAGGGCAGAAACTGGAGACTAATTAAGAAGCTATTACAGTTACCCAGGTGAGAAATCATGGTGGCTGGTCCAGGTTGGTAGCAATCAAAATGGTGAGAAGTGGTCAGATATTTGAAGGTAGAGATGATAGGATTTGCTGACAGACTGGATATGAGAGAAAGAGGAATCACTCCAAGGATTATTAAAAGGATGCCCAGACTAATAAGAACCTACTGTATAGCATAGGGAACTCTACTCAATATTCTGTAATGACCTATATGGGAATAGAATCTAAAAAAGAAGTGGATATATGTATATGTATAACTGATTCACTTTTCTGTACACGTGAAACTAACACAATGTTGTAAATCAACTATATGCCAATAAAAATTAATTTAAAAAAAAAAGATGCCCAGTTTAGAGCCTGCCATGTACTCGGGTCTGTAGGCATTAAGAACAGGAATCCGCATTGCCCTTCCCTTCAAGGAGATTAAAGTCTAGTTGCTAAAGGAAGACTTAACCTGTGGCAATATGCTCTGGGAAAACTTACTGTTTAATACTCCCAGCATACTAAGAATAACGGAGGAAGGGGTCTGTGGAGTGGGTTAGGCTCGGAAGGCCTCAAGGAAGAGGTGGGACTGCAACTTTCTTCAGAGTATCAGTAGGACACGGCTAGGCTGAGAGGAGACATTATTAAGCAGAAGTGAAAAACCAAGGAGACAGGAATGACATGGGTAGGACTTCCTCCCTGAAACAGAAGGTTTGTGCTGGAGAGTCATGGGAGAAGACACAAGGGGTAGCAGACATTCAGGGCCAGATTTGATAGCATTCAGATTTGATACAAGAAATGGTCGGGCCCCATTAGAGGGGATCCTTACATCTCAAGGACAAGAGTTCTTGGGAAGAGAATTGTCACAGCAAGACAATGTCCCTTGGGTGTTGCCCAGTCTCCCTGGTCCTCCCCAGGGTCCCCATGCCTTACCTCCTGCTTTGCAGTCTCCCCTCCCCACAGCCTTTTTGTGGCTGGGTCTTTGACCCTTATGGCCCCAGAGTTCACTCACCTCTTGCCTCACTTCGTGGCTTCTTGCCTGGCAGGTGCCACTTCTCCACTTTCAAGCAGTGCCAAGAGTGGCTCTCGCGGCTAAGTCGGGCCACGGCGAGACCTGCGAAGCCTGAGGACCTGTTTGCCTTTGCCTACCATGCCTGGTGCCTGGGGCTGACTGAGGAGGACCAGCACACCCACCTGTGTCAGCCAGGTGAGGCCAGGCTGCTCTCTTTAGGAGACTTCTTTTTGTCTCTTGCTTCTCACCCCTCCTCCGCCCTGGACCCCGTGCTCTTGGATGCTGACAGGCACGGGGGCTGTGTTGCAGGAGAGCACATACGATGTCGGCAGGAGGCCGAGCTTGCGAGGATGGGCTTTGACCTGCAGAACGTCTGGAGAGTCTCGCATATCAACAGCAACTACAAGTGAGAGGGTCTTGGGTGGGGAACCAGAACACCTGTCCAGACCCAGACTTCCTCCCCGTGTGGATAAAGCACGGTGGGCACAGCTCCTGGCTCTGTGAGGGGAGGAGGGCTCCTGGTCCCTCTGCCCACAGGGCCATCCCTGGGGATCTTGTGATCACAGGTCTTTAGTCAAGCTCCATGACCCCATCTGGTCTCTTCTCAGATTGTGCCCCAGTTACCCCCAGAAGCTGCTGGTTCCCGTGTGGATCACAGATAAAGAGCTGCAGAACGTGGCTTCCTTCCGCTCCTGGAAGCGGGTCCCTGTGGTTGTGTATAGGTGAGGCGGTGGGGGCCGGGGAAGTGGGGGGATGCTTTTCGGGCAGTGAGGAGAGTCAGAAGTGGAGGTCTGCGGCAGTGTGGTTGACTGGGAATTGACACTCTTCCGGGAAGTGGCTATGAAATAATTTTAAAAGAAAAACTGCTTCAGTTTTCTTTCTCCTGAGGATGAGGCTTTTGGGGAGTTTACACATTTTTCTTTCTTCCTTTCTTCCTTCCTCCCTCCCTCCCTCCCTTCCTTCCTTTCTTTCTCTCTCTCTCTCTCTCTTTTTTCTTTCTTTCTTTTTAGGACCTGCGTGCGTGTGTGTGTGTGTGTGTGTGTGTGTGTGTGTGTGTGTGAAACATTGCTTTAGAACAGGGGTTGGCAAACCATGGCCTGTGAACCAAATCCAGCCTGTATCCTGTTCTGTGTATAGCCTGTGAGCTGTGAATGGTTTTTACATTTTTTTAAAAAATTATTTATTTTTGGCTGCATTGGGTCTTCGTTGCTGCGCACAGGCTTTCTCTAGTTGTGGCGAGCGGGGGCTACTCTTCGTTGCGGTGCACGGGCTTCTCATTGTCGTGGCTTCTCTTGTTGCAGAGCATGGGCTCTAGGTGCGCTGGCTTCAGTAGTTGTGGCTCGTGGGCTCTAGAGCGCAGGCTCAGTAGTTGTGGCGCACGGGCTTAGTTGCTCTGTGGCATGTGGGATCTTCCCAGACCAGGGCTCGAACCTGTGTCCCCTGCATTGACAGGCGGATTCTTAACCACTGCGCCACCAGGGAAGTCCCGGTTTTTACATTTTTAAAAGGTTATTTAAAAAAAGAAAACACAGAGAGAAGAATGTGCGACAGAGACTGGCTGTGACTCCCAAAGATGAAAATTTATTGCCTGGTTCTTTACAAAAAACATTTGTGAGGCAGGTAGTAGCCATGAGGTTTGGAGTTGTTCACGCTCTGGGCCCAGGCTTGTTCTCCTGCTGGGTGTCTGTACCTGGAGCAGGTGCTGTGCAGATTTGATGAGTCAAGGTCACCTTGGGAATACACAGCCCATTTGAGAAACATGTGTGACAGTGCTTTGTAAACTGTAAAGCCGTCTCGAGATGTTAAGGGCTTTTGGTTGCTATTGCCATAGCCTGGATGACCTGGTGGCCCCTGTTGGCTCTGGAGATCTTGGCCTGGCCCCCTGGGGTCTCAGCAGTAGGCCTCTGGGGGCTGTGGACGCCAAGGGCCTGACGGTTTCTTCTGTCTTGTCAGGCACCTGCGCAGCGGGGCTGCCATCGCCCGCTGCAGCCAGCCCGAGGTCAGCTGGTGGGGCTGGCGCAACGCCGATGACGAGCACTTAGTCACGTCCATTGCTAAAGCCTGCGCCCTGGACGCGGGGACAAGGGCCACTGGGGGCACTGCCAGCACCGGGGGTAGTGATGCCGGCGAGGCGTGTGACGCTGACTTCGGTAAGGTGTGGGTGGTGTCGGCCCCCTGGGGGCTAGGCTCCCACCTTGGCCTCCTGGGCTCCAAGTGAGAGGGTGGGAAGAAGACGACAACACACAAGGTGTCTGCGTCCCTGTCTTTTGGTGGGGACGAAAAGGTGATGGGGTGTGAGGGGGTCTCATCAAAGGGAGTGCCCCAGGGTGGGGTGCGCCTGGGCAGATGGCCGACCCAGGGTCCTCTCCCTGCTGTGTGTGTGTTTAGATTCCTCCCTGACTGCATGCTCTGGAGTGGAGAGCACAGCTGCCCCCCAGAAGCTGCTGATTCTGGACGCCCGATCCTACACGGCAGCGGTGGCCAACCGGGCCAAGGGTGGAGGTTGTGAATGTGAAGGTATTGCTGTTACCTCAGTGACTGCAGCCAGCCTGTGCTCTGGTGGCTTTGGGGACAGCTTGTGTGGTGGAAAGAGCCAAACAAACCTGGCCTGGGATCAGGACTCTGCCACTCAATGGCTGGGACTATGCTTAAATTGCTTCATCTGTCTGAGTTTGACTTTCTCATCTGTAAAGTGCAGCTGAAACATGCCTTGCAAAGTTGTTGGACGATAGAGAGGTTACATATATAAAGTTACTGGCACAGAGCAGCTACTGTTTGTTGAGGATTTACTATATATCGTCATTACTAGTAGTCCTCGAGCAGCATTGTCATTGATGTTATCGTCATCACTATTAGCATATGGCCCTTGAGCATCCGGAGGTAAAAGGGTATTGAGATTTCCAGAGTGTATTGAGTCCCCGTCCTGGAGTGCTCTGTCCTGCAGGGAAGCTTTGCCCACTGGACTGCTCTCGTCCTGGATGCCTGTTTCCAGAACACGCTCTTATGCTCCACTCTCCTCTTATGTGTGCAGAGTACTACCCCAACTGTGAGGTCGTGTTCATGGGAATGGCCAACATCCATGCCATCCGGAACAGCTTCCAGTACCTCCGTGCTGTGTGTAGCCAGATGCCCGATCCCAGCAAGTAGGTGTTCCCTGTTCTGATTCCATCCACCCTCCAGTTTCATCCCTTACCCAGCACTTCTCGTGCTTGGAAGGTCTGGTGGGGAGTTGGGGAGTGTGAGACACAGGAAACCCGAGGGCCTAGGTGCAATGGGCTAGTTCCAAGAACACTTCTTCCACTTCTCAGCCAACGCTTTGGAACGGCCACAGGACACTGGGTTCCTTTTGTTTTGATGAGTTGTCCTCAAGGACGCAGAGAACTGAGGAGAGAGAGTGGCTTCTGATGTGCGTGTGATGCTCCCAAGTTCCTCTGTTGATCCAAAGAGTGTCTTGTCCACCCCAGGTCCCATTTTCCCTACCTTCTTGCTAGACACCTCTTGGCAGAAAGGCCATGGGCTGGGCCTCTTAGCTTCAGCTCTCACTGGGGACTTTGTTAAGGTGTGGCTGGCCGTGGATGGCGGAGAGACTGTTGTAGCCTCGGCGCCCTTAGTGACAGATGTGACCTCTGCTCTCTTGTAGCTGGTTGTCGGCTCTGGAGAGCACCAAATGGCTGCAGCACCTGTCGGTGATGCTGAAGGCAGCTGTGCTCGTGGCTAATACAGTAGACCGGGAGGGCCGGCCTGTGCTGGTGCACTGCTCGGATGGCTGGGATCGGACGCCGCAGATCGTAGCCCTGGCCAAGATACTACTGGACCCGTATTACAGGACGTTGGAGGTATTTGGAGGGGTTGGGTGGGAAAGAGCAGAGGGAAAGGGGGCGTTTGGGGAAGGTACTAGGCCCTCTGGATCCGTTTGGGGGATCTTTCCATAGAGGACGCTGGTGGCTTTAAGTCCTCTTCTAGGTTTGGGCGTGTTCTTCTCTGAAGCTGCCAGCCCCCTGCTTCGGGCATCCCTGGAAGGAGCACAGTAGCCTTCCCAGAGAGGCCCTACACTTGAACCTCCTCTTTGTTGCAGGGTTTCCAAGTGCTAGTAGAATCTGACTGGCTGGATTTTGGGCACAAGTTTGGAGACCGCTGCGGCCACCAGGAGAACGCAGAGGACCAGAACGAGCAGTGCCCTGTGTTCCTCCAGTGGCTCGATTCTGTTCACCAGTTGCTCAAGCAGTTTCCCTGCCTGTTTGAGTTTAATGAAGCGTTCCTGGTAAGTCCATGAGCCTGGTAAGTCCGTGAGCCTGAGGCCAGGGTGGGGGCTGGCAGCCCAGGTCTGGTGCAAGCTGTCTTGGCCGTCTAGGTAAAGCTGGTGCAGCACACGTACTCCTGTCTCTACGGCACGTTCCTGGCCAACAACCCCTGTGAGCGAGAGAAGCGCAACATCTACAAGCGGACCTGCTCTGTGTGGGCCCTTTTGCGAGCTGGCAACAAGAACTTCCACAACTTCCTCTACACATCAGGCTCAGAAATGGTAAGTCCGCACCCTTATCCCGTAGGTGCGTCTTGGGGACCTACAGGGAGAAAAGGCCGAGTCAGCGGGAAGGACTCGGGCCCAGAGGCTTAGGAGGGAAGGGGGCCCCGAAACATCTCACAGAACCCACGTACGGGGCTGCTTCCCTAGGTCCTGCACCCCGTGTGTCACGTCCGGGCGCTGCACCTCTGGACAGCTGTTTACTTGCCAGCGTCATCTCCATGCACACTCGGGGAGGAGAGCATGGACCTCTACCTTTCCCCGGTGGCTCAGAGCCAGGAGTTCTCTGGCCGCTCTCTGGACAGGTAAGAAGAGCGCTTTTTGCTCTCTCCTCTCTCCCCTAGGGAGGCAGCAACTGCTTTGTGTCTTGCCTAAATGCTGTTCTTTTCCTTTTATGAGATATTTTAAAGCAACCTCTTGAGCCAGTTGAAGGCCAAACTTGGCCCAAGACTCGCAGTTAGCTTGGAGGGCACTCTGTATGTTCCCAAGGTCCGTCCTTAAGATAAGAGTGGTTACCTTTTTTCCAAGCTGCTATTACCCTTTGTGACAGACCCAGGGGAGAGGAGAACAGAACAGAAAGGACTATTTCAGGAAGACTTGTGGGAATGGTCTTGATTGATGTTCACTGGCGTGGGAACCTTGCTATCTTAGTAATAACCTTTGCTATGTCCAGCATTAGCTTCCAGAGAAATGGGTTCCCAGAAGGAGAACAGCCTTCACATTACTCCCTCAGAATTTAAAGGGAGACGTAAAAATTAAAGTTATATTCTGGCTGAATATTTGGGGGGAAGTAGCATGGAGATTGGTTAAGTTATAAGAGTAATATCTGTTCTTTGTTTTTAAAAAGAGCCCAGCAATATAACAGTAGAGAATGGCAGTCCTGCCTCCCTGTTCCCTGTCCCCACAGGTGTCCACAGCTGGCGCTTTGGTGCGTGCACTTCCAGATGTTGATCTCTACACTGATACAGCCACTCTCACAATCTCGTGTAGAAACATTTTTTAAATCCAAAACCAATCATATTTTGCGTACCGTTCTGCAAATTGTTTTCCCCACTGTGTGTCAGGATGTCACCCATGACAGCGCACAGAAAGCTGCTGTGTTGTTTTTAGCGGCTGCATAGTAGTCCAAAATTAGAGTGCATCAAAATTTATAAAACCAGTTTTCAATTGGTCATTTAGGTTTATCCCATTTTTTAATCATTATAAGGGGTGTTTTAGTTAACACCCTTATATGTATATCTTAAAAATTTTTTTTTGTAAAATACATACAATATTTACCATCAAAACCATTTTTTTAAAAAAATTTTCGGCTGTGTTGGGTCTTCATTGCTGCATGTGGGCTTTCTCTAGTTGCGGCGAGCGGGGGCTACTCTTCGTTGCGGTGTGAGGGCTTCTCATTGCGGTGGCTTCTCTTGTTGTGGAGCACGGGGCTCTAGGTGTGCAGGCTTCAGTAGTTGTGGCGCGTGGGCTCAGTAGTTGTTTCGCATGGGCTCAGTTGCTCTGCAGCATGTGGGATCTTCCTGGATCAGGGATTGAACCCGTGTCCCCTGCATTGGCAGGTGAATTCTTAACCACTGCGCCACCAGGGAAGTCCCCTAAACCATTTTTAAGTATACAGTTCAGTAGTGTTACCGTATATGTATACCTTTGCTTTTGTGCTAGTGTTTCTGCCAGATAAATTCTTAGAAATGAAAATGCTGGGTTCAAAGCATATGTGCATTTCTAACTTTGATCTTTGTTTACTGGTGGAAGGCTTTTAAAATTAAAATATAACTTACATAATTGGTTGAATATTATAAAGGAAAACAAAAACCCCCAACCCCCAAGTTACTAGTTTTAGGGTCTTTGGAGCTGTGTCCGTTGTCAGGGGCCTATGGATAGGCTTCAGGAGTTCTGTGATTTTTCTCTTTCCACAAACTATGCAGAATTTGGGTATAGGTTCATAAGTTTGCTTTTCTAGGGAGAGGGGCCATAACTTTTTATCAGATTCTTAATAAGTTCTGTGACCCATTTAACAACCATGGCCTTAAATCAATATCTAACTTTTCAAACCAATAAATGTCTCTTAAATACCTACAAGTTGCCTAGTACTGTACTAGGTTTTATGGGCTGTACCAAAGACATAGAAGATATTGATCCTATAAGATACCTTTAAAAAGCTGTAAGATCAGGCATAGGACAATTAGAGAACAATTCTAAGTTAGCATCTAAGCGAATAAGAATGTGTCTTGTTCAAAGCTACTAGAGAAATGAGAAGTAAGAAAGGGGTCATAGGGTGACTGTTTACTCAGAGAGGTTTTCGTGGAAGACCAGGCAGGAACCATGGCTTTTTAGTGTCCCTAGTGCCTGGCTCAGGGCCTGGCACATAATAGGTGATTTAGTAAATGCTTAAATGAACAAACAAATGAATGGAATAATGGGAGTTATGAGCTTGGTAACAAGGTTAGTGGAGAGGGGTCCAAAAGAATTAGAAGCATGAGAGAGTTTCTAATTTTTTTAAAAAGAAGAACCACCTCTCTGGAGCTGGCAGGGTTTGGGAAGAGGTATTTTGAGGAATAGAAAGAAATAAACAGGATAGTTCATTGAGGGCTTTTATACTGAGGAGTTAATTTTGTTTTTTTATAAATTTATTTTATTTATTTATTTTTGGCTTCATTGGGTCTTTGTTACTGTGCGTGGGCTTTCTCTAGTTGTGGTGAGCGGGGGCTATTCTTTGTTGTGGTGCGCGGGCTTCTCGTTGCGGTGGCTTCTCTTGTTGAGGAGCACGGGCTCTAGGCACGTGGGTTTCAGTAGTTGTGGCGTACGGGCTCAGTAGTTGTGGCTCGTGGGCTCTAGAGCGCAGGCTCAGTAGTTGTGGCATACGGGCTTAGTTGCTCCGTGGCATGTGGGATCTTCCTGGACCAGGGCTCGAAGCTGTGTCCCGTGCATTAGCAGGCGGATTCTTAACCACTGCGCCACCAGAGAAGCCCCTGAGGAGTTTATTTTGATTCAGTTGTCAATAGTAAGTCATTGTGACCTGGTAACAATGGGATTTTTCAAGAATTAATCAGTGAGCAATGTAGTTGGAGGCACAGAGACCAGCCAGCACTGTTGTAATTCAGATATGAAAGGAAGAGTCCTTGGAAAAGAGAAAGGGTTAAATTCAGACGTTGTTGAGAAGTCATTAGCACTCTGTGGAGTTGCCTGAACATTGAAGGGTGGAAGTGAAGAGTAAAGAGGCCAGTCAAAGACAGGTCCCAGGGCTTCCCCGGTGGCGCAGTGGTTGAGAGTCCGCCTGCCGATGCAGGGGACACGGGTTCGTGCCCCGGTCCGGGAAGATCCCACGTGCCGCGGAGCGGCTGGGCCCGTGAGCCATGGCCGCTGAGCCTGCGCGTCCCGAGCCTGTGCTCCGCAACGGGAGAGGCCACAACAGTGAGAGGCCCGCGTACCGCAAAAAAAAAAAAAAAAAAAGGTCCCAAGTCTCTGAGCTTAGAAACCAGGAGGAGGATATTAGTACCACCTATAGACACTGAAAAGTTGAGAAGATGTGTCAGTTCAGGGAGAAGGAGGAGATACCGGCAGGTTGGGACTGAAATATTTTGACAGCACACAGGAGGTATGCTGCAGGCAGTTCGAGATAGGGTTGGATTTAGAGGAGTAGTTGTATAAGGGTTTTAAAGGAAATGGTTTCTCTAACAGCTGACCTGACTCACCTTCGGTTCTACCTTTCCCTAGATCAGAAACGTCCTGCTCTCTTTCCTCTTCTTCCATTAAAGTGCAAGAACCCATTCTTCTCTCCCCAGCTCAGATCCTCCCCTGTCTGTGTAGCCTTCCCTGACCACATTAGCTGGATGAGCTCTCTCATGGTTCCAAACTCCTCAGGCATTATTGTCTCTACCAGCATTATTAATTAGACCTTCGGTCCACATAGGAGTCAGCTGTGGGGGACTGCAGGCTGTTGCTATTGGTGAATCCGGATAAAGAGTACATTGGATTTCTTCACACTCTTCTCTCTACTTCCTTTGTATGTTTGAAAGTTTCCATAATAAAAAGTAAAAAAAAAGAAAGAAAAAAATTAACAAGTTGCCAAGCTGTGAGATTCAAGCTCTGGCTGTGGGACTCCAGAGACTGTAATTGTAACTGTTGTCATTGCCTTCCTGGAATTTGTTACCACACAAACACACATTGATCACGAAAGTAAAATCAAACACAAGAATACTTTTAAAGAAGTATTAGTAAGTTTCAAAAACCAAACACTTAAAAAAAATCAGCTAGCTCTGTTGTAACTGCACCTTTGAGGGATTTTTCAGTGTGGGCTGGGCTGACTGAGGCATCTGAAAATAGGAGTCCAGCGAAGTCTCCACTGTTTCCTGGCAAATTTCCCTCAAGTTTTGTTGCTCCAAGGACTTTAGAACTTTAAAAATTAGGGCAGTCATTCTTGAAAATGTCTGTTACCCCTTTGGTGTGCCAGAATGCCTCTAGAACTTTGCGTGCTGTACACTAGGGGAAGTTTCCGTGCTGACTTGGGACTCATAGGAGCACTCTGCCACTAAGTGGTTGTAAAAAGCTGTGCTGGTTACTCCTGTGATGGAGGGATAATTTATAATAAGGAAAGCTGTAAAAATGAGGAGTCGTGAGTGTAGCCTTTATGTATTTATTTATTTATTTTGGCCGCACCCTGCGGCATGTGGGTGGGATCTTAGTTCCCCAACCAGAGATCGAACTTGGGCCCCCTGCAATGGAAGCGCGGAGTCTTAACCACTGGGCCACTGGGGAAGTCCTGTGAGGGTAGTCTTAATTAGTTTGCGGTTGGTTGCCTATATTTTGAATCCTCGTAGCATCTCTGCAAGGTAATTTATTGTCATTTTATGGAGGAGAGAAACCAAGTATCTGAGAGGTTAAATAGCTTACTTGTAGTCACATAGCTAATCAGTGTCAGAGCCAGCATCGTCAAGCTCCAGAACCCATCTTCTTTCTGTCTTGCCATGTGTGATAGAGGCGGTTGGACATTAGGTGTGAGGCCGAGATGTAGTCCTGGCCTGAAGGGTAGATTGGGAAGGCATCAGCTTAGAAGGCAGTTGAAGCCACGGGAGTGGTTGAGATTGCCAGGGAGACTGTGTGGGGTGAGACTGATGAAAGCTGAGGACAGAGCCTGGGTTCCGGAGTTCATGTCCTCCACTCTTTGCAGAGCAGACTTTTTGCAGTGAACATTGGTCATCTGTAATCTTAAATGTTGTTATTTCTTGTGAACTCTGGCTTTGATTGCTTTGATGACCCAATTCCTGTATATGGGAGGTAGCTCAGTTCCTGACCTGGAGGTGGTGTGTTGTCATTCCAGATTACCTAAAACGAGATCTATGGATGATCTTCTTTCTGCCTGTGACACAAGCAGCCCCCTGACGCGCACATCCAGTGACCCCAACCTGAATAACCGCTGTCAGGAGGCCAGAGCAGGCCTGGAGCCCTGGCATGGCAATCCTGAGGGATCAGAGGCAACCTTCGTGGAATCTGGGCTAGGAGGTGTTCAGCAGACTGTAGGAGAAATGGCTCTTCCTCCGTCTCTGCCCGGCAGCCAGAAAGACTACTTGAGCAATAAACCTTTCAAGAGTCACAGAAGCTCTTCTCCAAGTTACAGGCTGCTTAATGCTGCAGTGCCCCAGGAAATGAAGAGCAGCACCTCTGATCCTGAGTTCAAAGTCCTAGAAGAGACTAAGGCACCAGCTCCAGACCCTCCTGCCCAGGATGAGCTGGGTAGGACTTTAGATGGCACAGAGGAGCCACCTGAACATCGTCCTGAAAAAGCAGCTGTCCGAGCACTCTCTAAAGTTGTTTCCAACAAGCGTGATGGAATTTGTGATTTTCCTGAGTCTTCCCAGGACTCCCTCACAGGTGCCCCCGAGCAGGCCCAGCTAGACTCTGTGCTAGGTGTGCCCTCCAGAGGTGCTGCAACTCACGGTCTGGGCATCCTTCGCAACCCGCTGAGTGCTGCCTGCCAAATTCCTCCAGACCCAAGCACCGACTGTCTCAACCGAGACCCTCCAGGGTCTGTGGCAAGTGTCTCCCACCAGGAACAGCCCGGTTCTGTGCCAGACCTGATTCAGGGGGAAGAAGACATGGGCAAAAGAGGGAATAATAGGAATGGGCAGTTATTGGAAAACCCTCGCTTTGGAAAGGTGCCATTGGAATTGGCCCGAAAGCCAATTTCTCAGAGCCAGATCAGTGAGTTCTCTTTCTTAGGGTCCAACTGGGACAGCTTCCAAGGGATGGTGACTTCATTCCCGAGTGGGGAGACCACCCCTCGGCGGCTGCTTTCCTATGGCTGTTGTAGCAAGAGGTCGAGCAGTAAGCAGATGCGGGCAACAGGGTCTTGCTTCGGGGGACAGTGGACTCAGAGAGAAGGGGTGAGGTCACCGGTCTGTTCTACTCATTCCAATGGACACTGTACTGGTCCAGGAGGAAAAAACAACCAGGTGTGGTTGTCTGGTCACCCAAAGCAGGTCTCCGGCACGAAGCCTGTTCCCCTAAGCTGCCCTTCTCCAGTGCCTCCTCTCTACCTGGATGACGATGGACTCCCCTTTCCCACGGATGTGATCCAGCATAGATTACGGCAGATTGAAGCGGGGTACAAGCAAGAGGTGGAACAGCTACGTCGACAGGTGCGTGAGCTTCAGATGAGGCTGGATATCCGCCACTGCTGCGCCCCTCCAGCAGAGCCCCCCATGGACTACGAGGATGATTTTGTAAGTACTCGCCTACTGCCACGCAGCCACTCATTCTGTCCATCCGTCCAGCCTTTCACCCATTCCATATCCATTCATTGGGTACTTGCTGTGTGCCAGAGTTAGGGGGTTGGGCTGTAGGATGAAAGACATAGTCCCTGCTCGCAAGGAGCTCACAGTCTACTGGGAGAGACAAGTAGACAGTTAGAATGCTGTTCTTAAGTGTTGAGGGAAGCATCAGGTGTTGGGGGCCTGGGTGGAGTCAAATTTCGGGGAAGTCTCTCCTGAGAAGCTAATGCTTGAGCCGAGTGCTGAAGAATGTCGCTTTTAGCCATGTAGAGAGTGAAAAAGAAATACCATTTGCAGAAGCATGGAGGCAATAGGTACTCCAGCGGTATGGCTTGAATAAAGGGGTGTGTGTGCGTTCACACACGCGTGTGTGCATGCGTGCACACTCGTGCTGGGACTGTGAGGGAGGGAGTTGGTAGTGTGGCGGGAGGTGACCTTGGGAAGTGGAAAGGGATTAGAAAGGTCAGCCTGAGTGCCTGTGTTGTGTGGATTCTACCCTCAAGGCAATAAAAGTTTTGGCTAGTGAGTCACGTGATCAGATTTGCATTTAAGAGTACTACCCTAGAGGGACTCCGACTGGCACGGCCAAAAAAAAAACAATTGAGTACTAAAGAGTGCTACTACCCTAGCAACAGCGCGCCGAGCAGATGAAGCCCAGGTGCGGAGGCTGGTTAGGATGTTTTGGAATAAGCCAGGTGAGAGATGATGAGGACTATCCAGGCTTCACTGGGTTCTGGCACAGCAGTCCTCGGGGAGCTTCCAGAAGCCAGCTCTAGGACATTCCCCCTTGCCTGCTGCCCACTCCTCTGCTGGTGGGATGGTCAGGGCTAACAACTTCTTACTATTCAGGGTGATGGTTTAGAACAGGAGTCAGCAAATTTGTTTGGTAAAGAGCCAGACAGTAAACACTTCAGGCTTTGTGAGACATATAGTCTCTTTTGCAGCTACTAGGCTCTTCTGTCTTACACAGAAGCAGCCATAATGACCATGTGTAAATGAATTGAGCGTGGCTGTCTTCCAACTTGACTTACAAAAACAGGCAGTGGGCCAAATTGGCCTGTGGGCTGTAGTTTGCGAACTCCTGATTTAGAATGTAACAGGAGAAATACTCTTTCCATACTGTGATGGAGCATATTGGTTAAGAGCATGGGTCTGGGGGCTTCCCAGGTGGCGCAGTGGTTGAGCAGGGCACGGGTTCGTGCCCTGCTCTGGGAAGATCCCACATGCCGTGGAGCGGCTGGGCCCGTGGGCCATGGCTGCTGAGCCTGCGCGTCCGGAGACTGTGCTCCGCAACGGGAGAGGCCACAACAGTGATAGGCCCGCGTACCGCAAAAAAACAAACAAAAAAAAAGAGCATGGGTCTGAAGCCAGACGCTAGGTCCAAATCCCACGTTTACTACCTATTAGCTCTTAACTCTCTCTATGGCTTCGTTTCCTTATTTGTAAAATGAGGAAAATAATAGCATACATCACAAGATTGTTGTGAGGAGTTAAATAAGTTCACGCATGTGATGCACTTAGAAACAGTGCCTGATGCACAGTAAACAACGAATGTTAGTGATGATGAAGATGATGGTGGTGATGCCTTTGCTTTTCCTTTAGACGTGTTTGAAGGAGTCAGATGGCAGTGATACGGAAGATTTTGGTTCTGATCACAGTGAAGACTGCCTTTCAGAAGCAAGCTGGGAACCTGTTGATAAGAAAGAGACTGAGGTATGTCCAGGCAAATATGTGGCAGGTCCTTTTGCAAGCCAGTGAGTTCTCATACTTCTCAGAGATGACTGACCTGTTCTTCCCCAGGTGAGTCTCTCTGTAGGGCAGTAGTAGCTGCCTAGGCCTTGTCATTTTCTTCTGGGATGCTTTCCTTGTTGCAGTGTTGCTTTTCCACTCTGTTGACAAGGACCTGGGATTTTTCCTTTTGCCTTCTGTTAGGTGACTCGCTGGGTTCCAGACCATATGGCATCACATTGCTATAATTGTGACTGTGAATTCTGGTTGGCCAAACGCAGACACCATTGCAGGTAATATGTTGCCTATGATTCAGTATGGCTCGTAAAGCCTACTGAGGGACATAGTTATGAACTAAACTGAATTAACCTGAAAATGGAGATATCTTAATAGGAACTATTTTTGTTTTCTCCCAACTTTTTCTTTACTCATGTAAGGCCTTTTAGAGTATCATTCGTTCCCAGTATATCGGCATTTCTGATGAACTCTCCCCTCTTTGTGCTTTGGCAGAAATTGCGGGAATGTATTTTGTGCTGGCTGCTGCCACCTGAAGTTGCCCATTCCTGATCAACAACTCTATGATCCAGTTCTCGTCTGTAACTCATGTTACGAACATATCCAAGTATCTCGGGCCAGAGAACTCATGAGCCAACATCTGAAGAAACCCATTGCTACAGCTTCCAGTTGAATGCCAGAGGAGAAGACCTGTCCAGTTTTAGCAGGTTTGAAGGGAGGATCTGCTTCAGGTGTAGTTTTGAAGGTTCCTTGGTGTGGCTCATGAAATCACAGAGCTCAAAGATACAGTCTTGAGAAATCCTCCTTGGTACCATGAGACTGGAGCAGAGGAATTCCAATTTGGCAGGAGGTCCTCTACTGGTGAGACCCTTACCTTGGGGTAATGGTCCTGATCCAGACCCAGAGTCTGGAAGCTTAACGTTGAGTTGGTGGCTCCAGTTTCTTTCTCCTGGGGTCACAAGATGATGATTTCATAGATACTGCCTGGTGATGTGTGCCCCAAACAGCAATAGAAAGGCATATGTATAACCAAACTCCAAATGATAACCAGATCCATCTCTCCTCCACCTTGAAAAAGGCAGATTATAGTATATAAGATAGGAATTCCTATCCTATTTGAAATGAACTATACCCTGTACCTCTGTGCTCTGTGTCTGTGCATGAAGGCTCAGTCCTTAGAGGCACTCCCTCTAGTTGCATTAGCTCTGTCTTTCTGTGGAGTTTGGTTTAAAGACTGGTTCAGCAAGTGGAGGTTTTGCTGTATTTTTCACTTGGCTCATCAGCCAGCATCAGTGAATATTCAGTTTAGGGGGACAGTTTTAGGGAGTGAGACCTTTTTGGGAGCAGAGGAAGACTCTGCTGATGTTCAGTCCTGGCAGAAATCAGTTACTTTGAGCTGTGAAGGCAGGAGTCTTTGTTACTCAGTGGCAGCTCTCGAGGTATGCACTGTGAAGAATGAGAAGGGAAACGCAGAAATTATCCTTGTGAAATATTTGCTGATTGTGCCCTACCCTTTGCGCCTGACTTTTCCTAGTTGTCCTGGTGCTAACACAGGAGCTACACCTTGATCCTCTCCTGGCATGAAAATAAAACACTGTTTATTTTGGTTGTTGTTCCATTGCCCTCTTCCCACGTGTCCTCTTTCCCTTGGCTGCTGCCTCCTCTGGGTCACACTGCTTCTTATCCTGAACACTTGACACCTTGAGGGTAGAATCTAGTGTTTGGTTTTTACCTCCTAGAATACGCTGTTTGGTATGTGAGGGTTTCAGTACAAATGCTGCTGTCTATTTCTGTGCACTTAACAATGGAACCCAAACAGAAGAGAATAAAGCCTCGATACCAAAATTGGGAGAGAAAATGCGTCCATTTGGACCAAAGGGTTTTTTTTTGTTTTTGTTTTTGTTTTTCCATCTTAATATGTACCAGTGGCACTTAACCAAAAGATACAGTGATATAGCCATGTACTGTGGTTGGGACAGATACAGTCTCCTTGACCTATAATGAAACCACTAGGATTTCCTTATATATTTTACTTAATTCGTTGGTGTATGGAAGGTAAATTACCCTTAGGCTTAGCCTGTTTTAAAATTATGGTAGCCGTCTAACTGCTACTTGTTCATGCTTCTTCCTAGAAAAAAATTTTTCATTCGAAAATAACTAGGATCTGCATTTAGAACAAGAACTGTTATTTGTCCTGACCTTTTCTTCAGCCCTACTGCGAAGCATCTGTGCTTTTATACTTGCCATGGATGTAACCTAAAAAGTTTTGGCGTATCTAGGTCAGTCTAGCGGAACTTTTTTCGTTTAAATGGAGTTGAATAATGGAGATTTTGTGTCCGGGAAATTCCTGAGATCATTGAAAAAATAACAAACTATTCCTTGTCTTGATACATAAAATTCTTCTAAGCATTTTCTCAGTCATTAAAATTTACTGCCAGTTGTGAGTGGCTTTTTAATTAACTTGACTTTCACTGCACTTCGATTGGCAACGTTTGAGGAGACTGTATCTGTCTACTTTGTGTGGCTGTTTTGAGGGGCTGTCCCATCAGTGAACATACTGCATGGCCTTGGAGAGAGACTCTGGGCTCTCAGCTCAGATGTATTCATCAAATACTCCTTTCAGAGCTCTTGTGGGTGTAAGTGACATGATGTGGCCAAAAATCCAAACTGTGCAGTTGCGTTGTGACAAACATGCAATGTGCTGTAAAAACTCGATACGATTTAAATAAAATCTCTATATTAGTGCTGCTTTGTTGGGTCTTTTTCTTCATTTTCAGTTTCTAAGAAAACTTAATACTCATTTTTTCTTTGACCATGAGAAAGGACTGAAACATTATACCCCTTCCTCCCAACCATTTCCATTTTTTAAATGGCCCTCTCTTTGTATCAGCACAAGCTTAGTTATTGATCAGATAGGGGAGTTATGCTTATGGATCCTACAGTCTCATGTGAGGTTTATTTCTCTTTAATATCTAAAATTTCACCAGCTGGTTGATCAGGCACACGGGATTGTACCTGTCTCCCTGCTTCCTGCTTCCCTCCTCACAGGCTTCTTCCGTTTTCTTTCCACTTTGGGTAAACGGTCTTGGGAAAAATATTGGCTGAAAAGAGTATATTTCATAACATGTAAAATGCTACTCTCTAAAAGGTGAATTTGTGTACTCAGGATACTATACCACCATCACCATTTTTAGTTGGAGAGACAAGCAATTCAACTGTTAGGACTAAGGTTATAGAGTTGTGCCCTTTTCTGTCGAGAAACGTCCGATTTTGTACTGCCCCACTGCTCACTTGCTTAATTCTAAAGTCCCACAGCTCCGCCGGCCTCAGGGAAATATGGGTCTCAGCATTCCACAGGGGTTAACCGGGCCGATCTCTTTGCAGGACGTAACACCACCTGGCGGGCGGCGGTTCCCAGCCCTTCCGGCGGGTTTAGGACGCTGAGAAAGCGCGACTTCCCGCCACTGCACGTGGCCCGGCCGCTGGGGCTCAGGGGGTGGATCGATCGCGGTGCGTCCGGCCGCGCAGCGGGAACTCGAGGCCCCATTGGCTGTGCCAGCGGGCGCCGCGGGGGCTCGCGCACCAACGGTCCCCGGGTTGGCGGCGGCGGCCTGGCGCTGGCAGGAGGGGGCAGGGAGAAGCGAAGGCCCGGGTTGGGGGGGATCGAGAACGGGGTGTGAGAGCCAGGCTCGGCGGGGCGAGGCCCAGGGCCCGGGCGGGGCGATGGAGGAGGCGCTGCTCTCCACCCCCATCAACCCCAACAACTTCCCCGCCAAATTGTGGCGGCTGGTGAACAGCCCCCGGTACCGCTCGATCCGCTGGGACGGCCGCGGCGAGGGGCTGCTCATCGACCAGCCGCTCTTCGAGGCCGAGCTGCTCAGCCCGCCCGTGGCGGGGGCCGGCGGCTGCAGCGGCGGCGTCCGGGGCGCCAGAGCCGAGCCCGAGCTCTTCAAAACCACTAACTTCACCAGCTTCATCCGCCAGCTCAACCTCTACGGCTTCCGCAAGGTGGTGCTGGGCGGGCCGGGCGCGGCGGGGCCCGAGCCGGGGCCTGGGGGCGGCGGGCCGGCGGGCGACGGGCCCCTCCACCACTTTCACAGCCCACACTTCCGCCGCGACCAGCCGCACCTGCTCGTGCACCTCAAGAGGCTCACCAGCGCCAACAAGGCCAAACTGGCGGCCGGCCTGGAGGTGCCCTGCCGGCCGCCCAACCGCTTCCAGAGGCTCCTCATCACGTCGGCCTCGGCCTCGGCCTCGGCCTCGGCCTCATCCTCCGCCTCGGCCTCCGCCTCGGCCTCGGCCTCGGCCGCCACCTCCCCGCTGCCACATCAGGAGCCGCCGCCGCCACCCGCGGGGTCCCAGCCCGAGTCGCACGGTGAGTCTTGCCCCGCGCCGGGCGCACTGCCGTCAGGGGGCAACCGCCACTTCCGAGGGCATTTCCGCATCCTCTCCTTTGCTGTGTCGGGAATGCCCCCGGGAGCCGCTTCCCGCGGTGCTTGCCCGGAATTGGCCGCGGCACCTGCACCGCCCTCACCCGTGCCGGCGCCCCTCCCCGCCGGCACCGCCTCTGCGCTGAGTCCTCCGTGAACATTGAGGCCCTTCTGTGTCCACTAGCGACCACAGGAACCTCTGCGTTAGGCTTGCTTTCTAGTCCTCCCGGAACCCTTTGGGCTCCAAACCTGTATAGCCATTTACCTTCTCGAGACGCCGTCTCTCCAAGGCGAACACCTCAAATAAGTAGGCCTTTGTTGGAGCCCTGGTTCAGGAAGAAACACAGAAGGGGCTCCTCTGTTCTGATGGGAAGCAGAACAGAGTTCCTATACAGGGTGAGGATATGGCAAAGGTCAAGGTGGGAGGGAACAGTCACAGCCAAGAGAACTTAGAACATTTATGCCAACCAAGGGAAAGTGAACAAGGTGCCTCGAGTGGAAGTTTGTTCATCTTCCACCCAATGACATATCTAAGAAATCTTGGGAGACGTGTTCTGACAACAATCATATTGTAGGTTCTGGAGTAAGGTGTAGAACAATAGGCGTTTATCTATCTTAAAAGCAAAAATATAATAATATATTTTGTTGTTTACCAGATACTGTTCCTGTGTAGAATGAATTGGCCAAACAGTTCTTTCATTATAGCTGATTAGACCTGATGCTTATTTAGGTGTTATGGTTAGACAAATGTAAGGCACAAATGGTTTTCTTTGCAGCTGTCAAGTTCTAGTTAAACAGGATTTTAGAAAGCTCACATTTGCAGCCTTTGAATTTTTCACTGTTGCCTTCAGTCTTTCAGTTTTGAAAAAATTTTCTATGTATAAGTTTGTATTTACTCAAAGTTCAAAAACTCTCTGATAGAAATTTATTTTATAAACTTGGTTTCTGATGCCCTTCCCCCTCTTCCAGGAAGGTGAGGGTGGCAGTATTCCCTTTCGTTGCTTAAAGAGTCCGTGATATGAAGCAGCATACCAAGAAAGCAACAGAATATAATAACGAGAATTCATTCTTTACCTTCAACTAAAAGAGTAATAGAGACATTTTCATCATGTTAACATGGATTTAACATAAGAGTTGTTGTGGTCCGAGCGCGGGTTGGAAAAGAATTTGCAGACACAAGGCAGAATGTTAAGGAAGGTAGAGTTTATTAAAGAGAAGGGTCGCTGCAAGAACAGTGGGCCGACTTCCTGGTAGCCAGGGAGAGTCGACGATGAGCATGGGTTGCTTGTCTGTTTTTATAGCCAGGGAACCTGCAAGTCATCTGCTGACTGGGCAGAGCACCTATGCTTTCAGTGTGCTGAGCGAGAGAAAAATGGGGCTAATGTCTTTCCTTAAATGGGATGGGAAAGGGACAGGGCATGCTGCTTGGGAGGGCTCTGGGACATCGCAGTGGTCACATTGTGACAGAGTGATAGGAGTTCTGTAACTCTTTGTTGTGGCAGTATTGACCCTTTGAGTTTATCTTGTTCTTTGTCCTTGGAGCACACCACAGAAGTGTCTGGGTTACTTCTCAGTTATGGAAAAACTTTAGATATACGAATAAAAGTAACACTATGTTCAGTTTAACCTAGGCCCAGGGTTATGAATGAAGCAATGTTCATTTGGAATTTAGAAGATAAGGGATTAGGTTGTGTATCTGTGGAGTTTAGTAGATAAGAGATTAGGTTAGAGTTCTAGTAACCAGTTGGAAAAACAGCAGTGGCGTAGGAATGTTCTAAAGGAATATTAAGCCGCTTACTTCCATATAATGGTCATTGAGTTTGGCGGGGAATTGAATGGGAAAAGGCAGTGGAGACAATACCTTGGCATTCATTTGGTAGAATCTCTGACATGGATATTTGTTTTTCAGATTGTGTGTCTGGTGGGCATAAGGAGAAAAGACTGAAAATGTGTCCGTGGGAAAAATAGGATAACCACTTCAAAGGAAGAAAGAAAGAAACATACATACATACAAGCCAACTCCTCTCTGATTTTCTTTTTCTCTCCCCTATCTTAAACCCAGTTGTATTCTAAGGATAGAGTTCATTTTAGTTGAAGAAATACAGGGACTACATAGGATCTGATTTTCTTCACTTACAGTTCAGTTGGTCAGCATTTTAAAGATTATTTGTTGACAAACATAAATTTAATTCATACTTTTTCAGTATAGATAATACATCAATCCATATATACCTAAATTATTGTAGTTTTCATGCATTTCCTGTTTTTTTTTACCATTCTCCCTGTTGGTGTGTGCAGAAGCTGTGTCAGGTGTGGATTGTCTACACCACAGGCTTGGTTCACTAGGGAACTGTGTTACTGGTTTGGGTGGAATGTAATTTTAAGTTCAAGAATACCGGCCCGACTTTGTTTTGCTTTAATTCCGTGTTCTAAGTCCTTGGCTCTTCTATTTTGCCTCACCTAATTTTTATTCTGCTTGATTCTTGCCTTGGTTATATGCCTGACTACACTGCTCCTTCCCAGTTTCCTTTCTGTTTTCTGTGTTCCACTGCAGCTTCTGGTTTAAATACTTCTCTTTTACAGTAGAGTCCTCTGTTTTCGGACCTAGTTGTCTTACCTAGATCCACTGAGCCAGCTGTCCTTTTGAGAATGTACTTGATAAGAAACGCGAGGATCACATGTTTTTCCCTGTTTTGTTTGCCCACTCTTGTTATTTTGTTTTTAGTGGCAGTTTATTTTACACTACTTGTTAAAGTTTTCTGAACTAAGCAGCAAGTCTGAGCACTAGATAATCTGTTTTTGCCTGGGGATAACAAGCTCTCAAGAGGCAAGTGTTGGGAAGGAGGCAAATTCTTTCCTGGGGATTGATTAGCTCAGATTCACTTTTATAGACGCAATAGAAAATTTAAGAACAGAAATTCAGCCTGCCTTACAGTTCCAGGATTCTGGATTTAATCTTTACCAAATATGTCTTAGATGTTCTGAAGACATGTAGGTGATGTTCTATAAAGTTGGTCAGAATAGAACCCTTAACAGAAGAATAAATAAGAGCTGAGCATGTTTTAGTTCTTTATTTTTAAAAAACAAATTGAAAGGAATGTCCTTCTAATCCTAACCATGTCCTTATGTTAGCAGCATCTAAAGAATATAAATATTTGGCCATCACTCAGAATTTATTGTAGTAGAAGTAGAATTATATTTTAATTCAGATCTAAACCAGAATTATATTTTAATTCAGATCTAAACCAGAATTTGAGAAATCAAGGTAGAGCATTCGTTAATTATCTGCTTAAGTTATTGACAGTCTGAAAATTCATCAACAACTTAACCCTAAAGAGAGTAAAGAAGGGCACACTGTAGCAACATGAAGTTTTAGCATCCAAGAAAAAATCAAGTGGTGGGTAGTTTGGGACCTCAGAAACACCTGTTTGTGAAGAGCAAAAAAATGTTTCTTTAGGTCTTAGAACAAAGAATTCTCAGTGGTAGTTCAAAGTGTGTATACATGTGGAATTGCTAGTCAAGTAGCATAAAAACTACTTTTGTATTTTAAAGGAAAAAAGGAAAAGTAGTTTTTAAGAGGTGTATCATTTAAATACATTTAATCATCTGAGTTAAGATTTTTTTTTTTCCACATTAGATTTAGAGCTCTTGATTTCCAGGTTCCAGAATTGTTTACATATATGTATGCATATATTTGTTTATTTTTGGCATTAATGCTTTATTCTTTTTAAATTTTATTTTAAGAGTTTATTTGAGCCAAAATCAATTTGAATCAGGCAGCGGCAAACCAGAAGTGGTTAAGAGCGCTCCCTAATGCTTTATTCTTTAGAGGAAATTAAACACTGTAGAAATACTAGAACAAAGGAAGTGTAACATGTAGAATGGTTTTACAGTTTAAATATTTGGAAGAGTAGGTACCTGAGTGCCATCTCTAGCGGATGAGTAGCACATAAATTAGATTTCCTTCTGTTTTATGGATTAGTTTAATAAAACAAATTGAAAAAACCTTGTGAACTAAATAATTTAGTGCGTAAAGCCCTTCCTAAGAGTAAATTAGGCTAGCTATATGTTCAGGAACCACAGTCTTTAAAATAAGTTCAGCTTGCAACATTTATATTTTCCTTTTCCGCATTACATAGTATTGGCCTTTTTCTCTCTTCCTCATCTCCACTTTTTAATTCCTTTCTACTTTGCTAGGTAAGAAAAAGCAAATACTGGAATCTCTTGGCCTGAGTGTGTGGAGTTTCAACAAACTCTCCAGGTGATTCAAATGTAAATCAGTGTTTGAGAGCCATTGATATCTAGGAAGGGACTCGACTAGAGATACTCTGAAGAAAAAAAGACTATGGAAAATTATTGATTGAGTTAAGGAGTGAACAAGCCAGAGTTTTCAAGCTTGACTTTTCTGCAAAGATTTTTATTAAAATTTGAAAAAATTGAAAGGGAGCAAAGAACATTAAATTACTTTTTGGTGTGTGTTATAATTTTTATTTCTTCCACACTTATGTCTTTTATGTATATGGTTGAGGGCTTACTTTTGTGCCTATTATTAAGGTTCCTAAATGATTTGAAAGACTGGAATTTCTAAAACTTCTAGGAAGTAGTTTACAGATTGGAAAAATCTGGGTCAGTCAGTTGAGGTGAAAGGTAAGATGACATTTAACATTTGATTTAATGTTAGAGTTTGGCTACTTTGTCTCTCATGACAGTCATATTGAGAACCAGACAAAAGTTATTTGATTATTTTTTCAGCATTATATGTGTAATCTCATATTCTGGATTCTGAACAACTTGATTTTACCAATAAATTTCTGTTGTGTTAAAAGTGGCTGAGACCTCAACATAGCCACAAGTGAAGAGAAGCGCATATTTTGTGACTTTTGGTTTACTACGTCTGGTGGTGTAATGTAAGATTAGTAAATGTGCTCCTCCTCTTTTATGCAGGACCAGTGGCTGTAGGACAATTCCACCGGTCGTTCCGGCGAGATAGTTTGTCTCCTTACTCCTACGTATCAGCTTCATCCCACAACCACGGTCCTTTCCCTCTGAAAGGTTTAGATCGGACCCCGATTCCTCCTAGAACATGGCAGAACTCTCTTGGAATGCACCCAGGACAAGTGGAAACGTCTCTCACTTTTTCAGATAAAGGGGTTCCATTTCCTGTACTACAGAGGTTTCCAACTGAGGTTACATATACCCTGCAGCCCAGTGCCACATCCGTACATGTTCAACAAGGTCCTCAAACAATGATCAGCTCCTCCCAGAAATATAGTAACTACACACCGTCAGCGCAGTACTCCCAAGCCTACTATCCAACAGGTATGAGAAATTCAAGTTCAGTGGCTTCTCTTAAGGTACTTTTAATGAGAATTTATATTTTTTTAATGTGTTTCTTTATGCCTAAACAAAAATAGGAATATGCACTTAAGAAATGTCAAAGATTTCTCATGAGTACACATTATTTAGCAATAATGTAAAATTTCATTGATTCTTAAAAGTTGTGAAAGTTCTGTTCGTGCGTAAAGGTGTAGGTTTTAATGAAACTGTTGTATCCTCAAAATATGTCCTACTAATAAAATTAAGACTTAGTACATCAGACCTTGGTATAACTCCTGTTCCTGGTGTAGTAGTTTTTTGTTTTTTGTGGGTTTCTTTTTTTTTTAGAAAACCTGCTTATATACATATTACATTGTTTACTTTTTAGTTATGTAGGTGAGACTACCTCATAACGAAATCATGTTAGTATCTCAGTAACGAAGTTTAATAAAAGAGCAACTCACCATCTCTTAAGACTAAATTATATTCTTGTAGTAAAAATGTGATAGTGTGGTTTGGCAGTGCAGTCCCTGCAGTGTTAATCCCAGCCAGTGAAGAACTGGGACTAGCAGAGAGAAGAGCCTGACAATGACAACTGACCCAGAGCCCAGCCAAGGGCATGGAAGGCCTGCTAGTAGATCTCAAGCCACTCATTGGGAATCCTTAAGATAGTGACCCTCTATTTAGCTTCTTGGGGCTAGGGAGTGTCTTTTTTTTGGAGGGGGGTACATTTTTGCAAAATGATAGCATTACCATTTAATTCAAAACAATTTCATTGTTTTGCAGAAGCGCCATAGAGGTGATGTGTGTTTTCATGTAGTGTTTACCCAGAATGATGAAATGGGGCAATAGAAACAAGTCAAGGGTCAAGGCTTTCAGAAAAGACTGGGAAGAGAAGAAAGGGGGCAATCCTTTGCCCTATGAATTAAGGTTCTAGGCATATTAATTAAGTACATCTGGAAGCAATTTCTAGAGGTATTTTGTTAGACCATTTTTCCCAGGCAGGACGAAATCAAAAGCTAAAATAAGTGGAAGCCATGTGAATTAGATAAGGGGGTAAATAATTTGTTGCCTTTTAAAAGTTGTAAATTTGGGAACTGTTCCATTTGTAATAATACTCACTATTTTCTAGCTGGTAGCATCCAACATATTGTTTTATTATTGGCTCATTGCGGTTTACCTAAATATGGCCAGTAAAAGGGATTGCTTTATTTTCTCAAAGCACTTAAGTTTAATAATATTAAAATAATAAAACCAGAGTTTAAATTAGATTGGGTTGTATAGATTTTTGGAGCTGCTACTGTTTTGGAGGATGGAGTTGAGAAGGAAAAGGGGAAGGAATTATATGGAGTAAGATGATATAGCACTTCTAATCATTTACCTATTAGGGATTTAAAAAAATTTTTTTACCTTATTATATAAAAAGAAGTTGAGGCCTAGTTTCCCAGATTTTCAGCTACTTCTTTGAAGAACAAAAATATCTGGGTGATCTTTAAAAACAGAAGATGACTAATTTCATGTTATAAGTTGTATATCTTATGTATAGCAACAAATAGTATCAGATTTTTATTGAGGAGTTTAATCCAATATTTTAACAAACAAATTAGGCATTTCTATCTAAATTATAATTTTGGCTGCCTTCCATATATGCATAGAATATATATATATATACATATATATATATACACACATATATATACACACATACACACAGAGAGCCAGTCTGTGCCTTTCTTACACTTGCTTTATGTTCTACAGCCTGTCAACTGGACAATACCCCTACTTCCCCTCCTTTTACCAATAACTGTTTCTGTTTCTTTTCCGAACTTCCCTCCAAACCCCCCTTCTCACACTACTAAAGACTAAAGACTCAAAAAGTTTCTGGGGAGTTGAAATTTAGAAGGACTGCAACAGAGGGATGTAGAAATGTTCTTGGCCTTCTAATTTGGAATTTTGGAGAAATTTTCCTATGGACATATTAGACATAGTGGTTAGGTTCTATATTACTGTTGGTCCTTCTGTTAAGGTATAGATGGTTAGAGGCTGGCTTAGGAGCCAGACTAGCCTATATGATGATGTTTCTACGGGAAAATGTATTCCAAGTTCCAAACAATCCTCTTGGAAACTCCTAGTTCTAAATTTTATGAGAACTAGTTATATAGTATTTGCTAGAAAACACTACAGATAGTTAATATTATTCCTCACTATGGGAATACTGTTTGTTAAATTATTGTGATTTAAGGACATATGTTATTTTAAAATATTTTATGTTAGCTTGGATTTACATTTATAAATAAATTTATTGATTTGATAATTACACTGGAAATCGTCTCCAAGAGTCCAAGGTAAGGACTAGGGAAGAGACACATTCAAAGAACAACTAAGTGCTGCTGATGTTTTGATAATGTAGAGTGAATATGAAGTCGAATCTGGGGTTATGTGAATTTTTTGTTTTGTCTTCTTTGAGGTGGATAATTGAAATGACTATGAAGGTTCTGAGGTTACGAGAAAAAGAAATCTCATGATTTCATGATGACTTCAAATATATAGAGTAGTTCTATGATACAATGTAGGCAGAATTGCTTTGAACATTCTGAAGTACTATATAAATAAAAAAATAAAAAGTTGTATTGTTAAATACAAAAGACCTGCTATGGAAAAGAAAGTGCTAAAGAAATACTGTACAAGTACTTAATTCCTCCAAATTTTAGGTGAAGGAAGCAAAAAGTAGTGAGCAATTTAACCAATATTTAGTGAGTACCTGTTTATGAAGGGTTTTACAAATGACTTTCCCAGAGTTAAGTAAAATACTATTCTCAGAGGCAGGATGATAATCACTCCCAAATCCAGCTCTCCAAATCCTAATAAAGTAACTAATTTTGGAATAATGGTCATACTTGTATCCTTTCAAAGTGAACTATATGACTTGAGGTTTGGATCAAATTTTAGTAAAAAACAATACTCAACTTCATTTAAAACTTAGTTATAGGGCTTCCCTGGTGGCGCAGTGGTTAGGAGTCCGCCTGCCGATGCAGGGGACGCGAGTTCGTGCCCCGGTCCGGGAGGACCTCACATGCCGCGGAGCGGCTGGGCCCGTGAGCCATGGCCGCTGGGCCTGCGCGTCCAGGGCCTGTGCTCCGCGGCGGGAGAGGCCACAGCGGGGAGAGGCCACAGCGGTGAGAGGCCCACGTGCCGCAAAAAAACCCCCAAAGAAACAAAAAAAAAACCCTTAGTTATATTGAAGATAAACTTGGATCTGGTCTTCAAATGGTATAACCAGTAAATTTTGAATTTTGTAATATTTCATAAATTATTAATTTCTCTAGTAAAGCGAAACATTGAGACTAAAAAACTGCTATCAGACTGACTCCTAAATTGACTCACCTGAATTATTTCTTACATTTGTCATTCCTCTCTTGAAGCATCTGTCTTCTTTTTTATTTATTTATTTAATTTTTTGGGGCTGCGTAGGGTCTTAGTTGTGGCACGCGGGGTCTTCATTGTGGTGCGGGCTCTTCATTTTGGCGCACGGGCTTCTCTCTAGTTGTGGCGTACAGGTTTTCTCTCTCTAGTTGTGGCACGCAGGCTTAATTGCTCCCCGGTATGGAAGGCAGATTCTTTACCACTGGACCACCAAGGAAGTCCTGAAGCATCTGTTTTCTTTGCCTAGATCGTTTATATTTTTTCCAGTCTTATCACTTCTTCAAAGACAAAATGTTGTAGATCCAGTGCTATTTGACTCTTTTTAGTCTTACCTTATCTTGAATTCAGTTTTTTTCCTCTAATGCTATTTTCACAGTGTGCTGCTATAATTTAATGTCCCTTTTTTATGAAAAACTTCATTTTAGACCTTTTTATTTTACTCATTCTCTATATATTTGAACATACATAAGAATATTAATATATTCATATTTATATATAGAGTCCTGTATTGAGGAATTGTTGTCCTTTGACTCATGTTGTAATGCTGAATTGACTCAAAATCAACTTTTTTTTTCTGCGTTAAGTTTTAAGCTCACAGCAGTGATCAGCAATTTGTAGCTGCCTTTTATCTCATATTTTAATTAACAAATACTTGTATAACAATCACTGTGACCAGGTACTATTCTGAGCACTTTCCAAATATTAATTAATTTAATCCTCACAACAACCTTATAAGATAGGGAATGTAGTTATCCTCATTTTATGGATTAGAAACGGAAGCACAGCCAGGCACAAGCAGGGCTGGGGAACAAATCCGGGCAAACTGACTCAAGGGTTCATTATTTTGGTCACTGTGCTCTGCTGCCTGCCTGCCTGTCATACAAAGAGGGACTTTTGTTTTGTTTTTCTTTTGCGAGAGACTCTTTCCTGATATATCTCTTCCCCAGAGTTAGTTACTTCCAGATAGGGTAGATGACAGAGTTTGGTGGGGGGACCTCCCCTTCTGTGCTGCCGGTGACAGTGGGACTGGCCCTGGGCTATTGACTCACCCTGCTCAAGCAGAGAGAACATACTCCAGCTGCTGGAGTCAGGGGTCCAGTTTGGGGGCCTCTGAGGAGTGGGGCTGTGTCTAATTCATTTTTGTATCCCCCTGCACCTACCATAGTGCTTGGCCATAATGGGCCCTTAGTAAATAATTTATTGAATGAATGAAATAATTCTAGTCTCAGCTTTGCAGTCAATCATCTGATGGACATTGTGACATTCTGTGGATTATTTCATGTCACTCAGCCTCAGTTTCCCTTTCTATAAAGTGGCAATAATATTTTGGGTCGGGGATTAAATGAATTAATGTATGTGAATAGACTATAAAACTTAAAACACTATTTACATACAAAGGACAACATTTTAAAAACTGTATTTAAAATGAGCCTAGATATTAATACTTTAAAGTCTAACTAAAGTGATTTGTAAGAACACAGCCTTCCCCTGAAGGTACATATGTTTATTGAAAAACATATTTTGTATCATTATTAAAAATTTTTTCTGAATTGACTCTTGGGCAAAGAAGGTTGCTTATTATTGTTTTAAAGTACAGTAAATTTTAAAGATTTGATCTTTAGGCTTCTAATCCTACATAATGTACAGAAACAAGTATGGAATCTCAAGTTATAGGAGCTTTCTGATGCTCAGGTAGCCTGTATTGTCAGTTTCTCCGAAAAGGCCCGATTTTGTTCTTATGGAAAGAGGGACTTGGCGTAGATACACCAGGAGGTTTTCTTTAGCTGCCAGAAGAAACTAAGCAAAAGCACAATTATATTTTCCTTTCTCTTTATTGAGGTAAAATATATGTAACATAGAATTTACCATTTTAACCATTTTTAAGTGTACAGCTCTGTGGCATTAAATACGTTCACATTATTGTACTAGCATCACCACCATCCATTTCCAGAACGTCTTCGTCTTCCCCCAGCTGAAATCTGTATCCATTAAACACTAACTTCACATTCCCCTCTCGCCATCTTTTGGCAACCACCATTCTACTTTCTGTCTTGAAGAATTTGATAACTCTAGGGACTTCGTATAAGAGCAGACATGTATTTGTCCTTTTGTGATTGGCTTATTTCACTTATTTCAAGAGTCATTGATACTGTGGCATGAGTCAACATTTCCTTCCTTTTTATTTTTTATAAATTTATTTATTTTTGGCTACATTGGTTCTTTTTTTTTAACATCTTTATTGGAGTATAATTGCTTTACAATGGTGTGTTAGTTTCTGCTTTATAACAAAATGAATCAGTTATACATATACATATGTCCCCGTATCTCTTCCCTCTTGTATCTCCCTCCCTGCTGCATTGGTTCTTCGTTGCTGTGTGTGGGCTTTCTCTGGTTGCGGTGAGTGGGGGCTACTCTTCGTTGCGGAGCACAGGCTCCAGGCACGCGGGCTTCAGTAGTTGTGGCACATGGGCTTGGTAGTTGTGGCTCGCGGGCTCTAGAGCGCAGGCTCAGTATTTATGGCTCACGGGCTTAGTTGCTGTGTGGCATGTGGGATCTTCCTGGACCAGGGCTCGAACCCCTGTCCCCTGCATTGGCAGGTGGATTCTTAACCACTGTGACAACAGGGAAGTCCCTCCTTCCTTTTTAATTTCCATATGTATGGACCACATTTTGTTTATCCGTTCACCTGTTGATAGACACTGGGTTGCTTCCACCTTTGGCTACTGTGAATAATGCTGCTATGAACTTGGTTGTACAATAATCTGTTCTGCTTTCACTTCTTTTGGGTATAGGCTGGAACACCATTTCTTTTCAAATTAACTTAATTTATTTATTTGGCTGCGGTGCGCGGGTTTTCTCTAGTTGTGGCGAGTGGGGGCTACTCTTCGTCGCAGTGCGCGGGCTTCTCATTGCGGTGGCTTCTCTTGTTGTGGAGCACAGGGCTCTAGGCGTGTGGGCTTCAGTAGCTGTGTCACGCAGGCTCAGTAGTTGTGGCACACGGGCTTAGTTGCTCCGCGGCATGCGGGATCTTCTTGGACCAGGGCTCGAGCCCGTGTCCCCTGCATTGGCAGGCAGATTCTTAACCACTGTGCCACCAGGGAAGTCCCTAGAAAACCATATCTTTACCTCATTGTAGATGAGATGTTGGGGTTCTAGTTGCTGTAGTAACTTATCTTGAAATTAAATTTACTATTTATTAGGATGTTTTTCCTTTTGAGTATTTATATTGGGTATTTCCTTACTGTTGACACTGTACTATTTGAGAGTAGATTCACGTCCAAAACATTTTAATTATAGATTTGAATTACCTCCATAGGATAAAGTATATGAACCTCTTTTCCTAACCTATAGTGGATGTGAAAATTTTTACCTTTAGATAAATTTTTAGTAATCCTGGCTTTATTTTATTACTAGAATTGTTTTTTTGTTTCTTTTGCGGTACACGGGCATCTCACTGTTGTGGCCTCTCCCGTTGTGGAGCACAGGCTCCGGACGCCCAGGCTCAGCGGCCATGGCTCACGGGCCCAGCCGCTCCGCGGCATGTGGGATCTTCCCGGACCGGGGCGCGAACCTGTGTCCCCTGCATCGGCAGGCGGACTCTCAACCACTGCGCCACCAGGGAAGCCCTAGCATTGTTTTTTTAAATGTCATCAACTCTGATATTTATATATGGAATAGAAATTGTTCATTATTTCCAGTTTTATATTCTATATGCAATTTAATGCCTTAAGTGAACACTGCCTTCAGGAAAATACTGGAAGATCTTTATGCAGATGAACGTGTCTTAGGACATAGCGATAAACTCAGTTTTATAAATGTTAGTGCTTTCACAGTGCTTTCATAATACATGCTAAATGAATTTGTCATGTATTAAGCACACAGTTGCAGTTTTATAGCTAGGTTTTCATATTCAGTAAACTTATTAATACTTTGTTTTGTTCTATTTTGTTGATTATACGAAGTAGCACTGCACTGGTAAGGAAATAGCCATTGAGGAATCTTTTTGGATTATCTGTTCAAGTCCTCCCTTTCTTCATGCAGGTACCTTTCTACTTTCCATTTGTAACTGGACACTTTAAAGGATATTCACTATTTTGCTGTTTCCTTAGATTCCAAATCAGCTATCAACTATCTATTAATATATTCTCTGTTATATATTCTATTTCTCCAAGAAATTTATTTTAAAGTACACTTTAACAGCTATTCAAAATGTGTAAACAATGGGGTCAGATCATAGCAATATCAGAAAAATAAAGCTAATACCGTTCACTGATTTACTTGTAACAAAACACTTTTATGGTGCCCTGATGGGTGAAAACCTGCAGCCCCTGACTGAGTCCTTTACTGCCACTAGGGGGCTAAGTTTTCCTTAGCTGTTAAAACTAAAGATCCCAGTTTTTTTCAGTTTTGGCGAACCCCGCAGACCCCTCCTTGCTGTTTTGCTTTTTGGATTTAACTTATGTCCCAGGATATTTGTGCCTTTAAATATTATGGGAAACCAAGTTCAAATCCAAAACATTTTAATTGTGTATTTGAATAATCTCCAAGGATATTGGAAATGACAACAGCTTGAATTTTATGTGACCATTCTAGTAATATCTGGCTTTTTTAACCACTGGACTTGTTAAAATTATGTAATTCAGAAAACATCAACCCTCATGTTTGTAATTGAACTAGAATTCTATCCATTATTTTAATTTTTTACTTCTGTGTGCAAAATGTAATGCCTTAAAATGCACATGATAAAATAAAATATTTATTTCTTGTATACCTTTATGAACTTCTGACGTTTAAAAATTCAGTAGTCAGTAATGGAGAAATAGGGAAGCATTTTAATGAATTTTTACAATCCTTAGGCTAATTCACTTCAAAGTTTACCGAATAAGATTATTTAGTAATATTATTAGCATACTCAAAATATGAAAAACATGGACCAAAAAAGAGAAAGTTGCCACCTTATAAAAAGGATACCTTAAAAATATTCAGCAAGTGGAGTTCTAGTAAAATTAAAATATTACATTTAGGAAGAAGAAAAGATTAGGGAAGTATTATGATATATTAAAGAGTGTGTACTTTGGAGTTTGCCTCTGTCACTACCGGCGTTATGACTTTCGGCACATTTTTTAACATCCCTGAGCTTTAGTTTCCTTATTTTTGTAAAGTAATGTTAATACCTCATTCAATTGTTGTTTGGATTAAATGAGGCCATATATGTAAAGGACCTAGGACTGTGCCTGGAATATGGTAGGTGTTCAACAAATGTCATCCTCTGTTTAATCCAAAGATGTGATGTTATAACTGATTCTCAGTCGTTCTGGAGGGCCTCTCCCTGGAAAAGAGGAGACTCAACCTAATTTAAGGCTACATCTGTAGGTATGACTCTACCAGTAGAAAGAGTTCAGTCTTTTCATGGTATCCTAACTATAAAGAGAAAGTTTGGAAAATGTATTTCCTTAGCTAAAATAATAGCATTGTTAGCTATTTACTTATTGATTGCTTACTGTATGCCAGTACTGTTCTTAGTGCTTTGTGCATATTAACTCATTCACTCCTCACAACAAACATGTTAGGTAGGTACTATTATTATCCCTATTCTAACAGAATGCAGAAACTAAGGCCCAGAGGGATTAACGTTGCTCAAGTTTATACAGCTATTAAAATTTTGGAGCTGGGCTCCAAAGCCAGGCAGTCTGTCTCTAGCATCTGAATTCCTAACCACTTGTCTAAATTGTTAAAACATTTTTTTCATAGATTCCACTGGATGCATTGTATAACAGTAGGAGTGTTTGGAGTGTACTTATAATTATTTTATCCTTAAAAATCTTCCTCCAAATGTTTGTTACTATTAAAATGATTGAAATAATTATTTTAGAATTCTGAATATGTTCTGATATCTTCAGTAAAAGGAAATGACTACTTTCAGTAAGAATAAATGTTTGGTTAGAAGGGCAACAAAATGTTTAGGTGCTAAAGAAATCATTTATAAAAGTAGACATGACCCTTTTAAATGACTTTTAAAATTGCCTTATTACCATTTGTTTTCAACAAATAAGGGCACCTAATTGGACTAAATACATTTTATTGCACCCACAATTGCACTTGGAATTTTTTGTTCCAAGTTGAAAGAGAGGAGTGCCTTGAATGCTGTAGAGGTTTATTTGGGTTGACAGCTTTCCTGTGTTTGGATTTGTTCCAGCTGTGCTGCAGTGCTGCTCTCCTACCCACATGGACGCGCTCAGTAGTTGTGTGACTCCCACTGCCCCTTCCTATGCACACTGCAACTACTTCCAGGTAAGATGCTGGGAACAATGGACATACCCTGCGTCAGGTACAATACGATTGGCCTTGCAGAATTCCAAAGTGTAATTTTATCTTAATGAGTAGCCAGAGGTAAGCTGTGGATTATGGCCTTAGTTTTTCTCAATTCTAAAAAAGAAAAGAGTTGATGTAAATGTTGTCTGAGGATTCTTCTAGGCCTACACTATCTTCTTGGCCTACTCTTAGGCACTAGCCACATGTAGCTATTTAAATTTAAATGAATTAAAGTTAAATAAAATTTAAAAATCATTCCTCAGTAGGGAGGGTGGGAGGGAGGGAGACGCAAGAGGGAGGAGATATGGGGATATATGTATATGTAGAGCTGATTCACTTTGTTATGAAGCAGAAACTAACACACCATTGTAACCAATTATACTCCAATAAAGATGTTAAAAAAAAAAAAATCATTCCTCAGTCACACTAGCCACATTTCAGGTGCTTAATAGTTTCGTTTGGCTAGTGGTTACCAAATTTTATAGTACAGATAGAGAACATTTTCATCATTGCTGACAGTTAGTTGGAACAATGTTGTTCAACTAACTGTCAACAATGGTAAAATTGATTACCATGGTAAAATGAATACCAGATAAACTCTAAAAGTATATAAATCACCAAATGACAGATCCTTCCAAGATGGTACAATTACTTTTTTTTTTAAAGGAGAAAGGAAAATGATGTCAAAAGTGAGAAAGCCCCCATGTTGTAAACACTGCACTTCAATGTTTTCTCATATTTGTTAGGAAGCAATTGCTTTGATTTAAATGTTGTAGACTACTACTTCTAGGATAAGATTAAATCCCATGTTTGTATTTTTATGCTATAGTTGCTTAAAGATTGGAATTGTTTTCCTTTGATATCATGTAGTCATGATAGCTTCTGTTCTTTACAGAATACCTTACTATTGACATTCCAGTACTCAAAAGAACATTCCTTTTTTCTTTTTTGTCTTTTCTTTCTTTTCTTTTTTTGAGGAGTATAGAATCAGATCAAGGAGACGTAGCTGGACATTTTTTTTTTTGCGGTATGCGGGCCTCTCACTGTTGTGGCCTCTCCCGCCGCGGAGCACAGGCTCCAGACGCGCAGGCCCAGCGGCCATGGCTCACGGGCCCAGCCGCTCCGCGGCACGCGGGATCCTCCCGGACCGGGGCACGAACCCGCGTCCCCTGCATCGGCAGGCGGACTCTCAACCACTGCGCCACCAGGGAAGCCCAGCTGGACATTTTTAATGGCAGCTGTCATCAAGCAAGTTAGTCTAGCCGATTCATCTTCACTGGAAGGACATATCTATCTCACAAATTAGATGCTCTTGTCTGTAGATCCAGGCATTCTCTCCCCTGGATCATACTCTGTTGGTGTTATATCTTGATTATATTTATGTTTTAAATAAATCATTTAAAACATCTTTGAAGACCTTTGCTTACTACAAAGACAAATACATGTTCACTGTAGGAAAATAGAGATAAGTAGACATAAAATTTTTAAATGGAAAAAAGGGAAGTATTTCAGATAACATTCTGGAAATAAATGCAGTTAGTTTTGTTGGCCTGCAGATATGAGTGTGCATGAATGGTCAGTATATTGCAGTGGTTAAGAGCAAGAACTCTGGAGTCAGGCACACCTAGGTTTGAAACCTGACTCTGTCAGTTACTTCTTTGTGACTTTGTATAAATTATGAAGTTTCTCTGAACTTCAGTTCCATCCTTTGGAAATAGAGATGATCACATTTCATAGACCTCTTGTGAGGATTAAATGAAATAATGTATGTAAAGCACTTTGTATGTGCTTGGCACATAGTGAGATCTCAATAAGTGGGGCTATCAGCTATAGTAAAGTAGCTTGATGCTTAAACCATTTGGATTTACATTATTTGGCATTATGGCCTTCAAACCATTGACGCAATCATTGTCAATGTGTTTGGCAATATTGACTCACTACATGTTTTATTTAATAGTAACTCTTCCATATCTTATGTTTATAACCTGAGACATTCAGCAAACATTTATTGAATGCCTGCTCTATGCAAAGTACTGTGCATAAGAGAATACATCTTGAAGATATCAGTCTAAAAGTGACAGCTATTTTAATCTATTGTTTTATTATTAAAATAAATAATCTCAGGACCAAAGGACATTTGATATTCCATACATTTTTTCCCAGATCATTTGGAACAGAATATCAGTACCTCCCCCCTGAATCTATAGAAGCATTGGTGGACTTGTGAGCGTCCTGTGTTTGACATTTCCTTACTACACTCCTAAAACAGTATATTACAGATACAAGTGATGTTTTTGTCTGTCAGCCTTTATGGAAGAGTTTGGTTTATAGACATTTTATCAACAAATAGGTTTTTGGGTACTATGACTTTTTTGATTTTGTGTACTTTAACCCTGAGAATTATTGGTCCATTCCAGTATTAAACTTAATATAGTGGTTGACATATAATAGTTCCTGTGTAAGTGTTAACAATAGAGTTGAAGCTACTACTGCTGGAAAGTTGATTGGCATTCAAGTTTTCTTAGTGAGCTTTAAGTTTAATTTGTTTATATTTCGCGTTCATCAGCCTAAATGTTATTGCTTTCCTCCTTAATCTCATATTTGGTTTTCTATCCAAACAGTCCTATTTTCTCTTTTCCCAGAATCCTCCAGTGCAATCCTCCTATCCAGTTGAATTTCTGCCTTCTGATTGGCCTTGCAGTGCTACTGATGAAAATAAAAAGTCAGAATTAAACCTAGAGGCTGTTTTTCAGATAGTAGATGAGTTGCATTCCTCCCCTAAATTGGAGATGGTAAAGGTGGAGCCTGTTGAGAATCAGTGCTCAACATCTCAGTCTAACAGAGGCCAACATATCCTAGCTAATTCAAACAAGAGCAATCCATCTTCCACAAGTCAGGCTAGCCAGCTGGAGCCACTTACTGCTGTAGGCTCAGATATTACGTCTTTTGTGGCTGGAACAGAACAAGCAATTACCTGCTCTCTACCACAGTCACCTGAGTACAACTATACCATCCACACAGCTCAGGCTGTTGAAAGCACTACAATGCAGGAGTCTGCAGCCAGCCAGCAAGCTCATGTCAAACCGAAGGAGCAGCTAAGTCATAATCCATCTCCGTCTTCAGTAGTATTTGTGCAGGAAGGGCTACCGTTCAGCACACATGAGGTAAGAGGCAAAGAAAAAATCCTAATAGAGCTCAGAGGTACCTAGTGCTTCTTGCTGAAGACTGTTCTAGTGGAGACTTTGTCCAGGTTTTATTTGGGTTTAATACCAGTTCATTATGCTCTTCAGAAGGATCGTCTCCCAGTGGTTCTGCACAAAAGATTCAGAAAGAAGTAACCTTAACCCTCAGGCATCCTCTCACTACGTTGTGGTCTGAAGTCAGCCTCTAGAGAGGCAGTCTGAATGAGCATTGTGGTATGACTGATTTGCATGTTAAAAGCATCCCTTGAGTTTTGCTTCCTACCTTAGTTTGGATGGACTAGGTGTGCCTGGCTGATTAAATTCCACTCCTCAGAAGGGATGGTTTATCTCATAGATAATATCAGGACTTTCCTGGCCATTTGTAGCATGGAGGTAAGGAGATGGTTGGAGGTGTTTTCATACTTTCTTACAGCATCATTGAATTCCAATTTTTTTTTAAAGATTTATTTATTTGCTTAATTTATTTTTGGCTGTGTCGGGTCTTAGTTGCAGCAGGCGGGATCTTCGTTGAGGCATGTGGGATCTTTCGTTGAGGCATGGGGGATCTTTCGTTGTGGCGTGCAGGTTTTCTCTCTCTAGTTGTGGTGTGCAGGCTCCAAGGCGTGTGGGCTTTGTAGTTTGTGGCACGCCGGCTCTCTCGTTGAGGCGCGCGGGCTCAGTAGTTGTGGCGTGAGGGTTTAGTTGCCCCATGGCATGTGGGATCTTAGTTCCCTGACCAGGGATTGAACTCGCATCCCCTGCATTGTAAGGTGGATTCTTTACCACTGGGCCACCAGGGAAGTCCCTATAGAATTCTAACTTGACTTGACAGCATACTGTGTTTGAATTTCCCTACTAATATTCTCATTCCTAAAGCAGAATTCTGACTCTAGTTTGAGAGATATATTCTGAAGGTAGAGACTAATTCCTTTATTGCTGCTAGCTTATGACCAGGAAATGAATAAACTTTGATTCTAAAAAATAAAAGTACATCCAAATTAAAATCACTTTTGTGATTATTTTTTTCCTACTTAATTTTTTTTCTTGATCTTAGCCTGATACATATGTATTTCATTTTGGATTTTTTTTCTTTAATGGAACTGAAAATGTCTTCATTGTTAGAAATTCCCAAGATAACTTTTTGGCAGTTTGCGTGTGTGTATGGGGGGGCGGGTTGTGGCCGCACCGCACGGTTTGTGGGATTTTAGTTTCCTGACCGGGGGTTGAACCCAGGCCCTCGGCAGTGAGAGCGCAGAGTCCTAACCAATGGACCACCAGGGAATTTCTGGCAGTTTTTAAAATGCATTCTTTTCTAGCTCTAACTTTAGATCCAAATGTCTTATGGCGTTTTGGGGTTTATTTATTTATTTAATTTATTTTTGGCTGTGTTGGGTCTTCGTTGCTGCGCATGGGCTTTCTCTAGTTGCGGCAAGTGAGGGATACTCTTCGTTGTGGTGCGTGGGCTTCTCATTGCAGTGGCTTCTCTTGTTGTGGAGCACCGGCTCTAGGTGTGCGGGCTTCAGTAGTTGTGGCTCGCGGGCTCTAGAGCGCAGGCTCAGTAGTTGTGGTACACGGGCTTAGTTGCTCCGCGGCATGTGGAATCTTCCTGGACCAGGGCTCGAACCCGGTCCTCTGCATTGGCAGGCGGATTCTTAACCACTGCACCACCAGGGAAGCCCTATCTTATGGTTTTTATCAACTCATTGTCCTTCTTGAGCCCAACTGTTGAGACCCGGTATACTATGTATTAATATTATAAATTCAATAGACCAAAGATAGTCCCATTATGTTTCAAATATGCCTGTGAAAAGAACATGAAATTTGCCTTTATTCCTTCGTAGTCACATCCAAAAGATTAGATTTCGTACCTTAAAATTGCATTCCCACAGTTATTTTTTTTTTTAATTTGGATATCACAGCTTTTGAAAGCTATATTTTGAACTCCTAGCTCTACTTCATTATATTGTTTTATTTTAAAATAAATTCATAAACAAATAGAGTATTTGAGAAGTTGGTCAGCTTGACAAAGGGATTTGATATTCCAAAGAAAACATAGGAACTCCAAGAGAGAAATTCATATGTCATAAGCAGAGCAGATCTAGATTTTATAGGGAGTGAAGCTTACACAAATTTGAGGTCCTCATTAAGCCAAAGAATACAAAATTAATAGAAGAAAGTGTTTATAACCCCTCTGACATCATCCAACAGGATCATGCCTATGGCCATTCCAGTATCACCAAGAGGGGCAGGCAATCAGATGGAAAGGATGTCAGAGTGGGAAAAGATAGTGGTATTAACCAATTGTGAATTTGTGTGATGTGAATTTTACCAAAAAAGAGAAAAGAAACTTCATGGTGAATCTTCCTCTGATCATAAGTAAATATTTTAGCTCCATAGACATTTCAGTAGTTTGTGTATGGGGAAATATACATCTTACTACCGAATATTCAGATTAGCTTAACAAAATCGGGTGGTATCATTCTTTTTTTTTTTTTTTTTTTTTTGGCGGTAAGAAAATGGCGGGCCTCTCACTGCTGTGGAGCACAGGCTCCGGACGCACAGGCTCAGCGGCCATGGCTCACGGGCCCAGCCGCTCCGCGGCATGTGGGATCCTCCCGGACCGGGGCACGAACCCGCGTCTCCTGTATCGGCAGGCAGACTCTCAACCACTGCGCCACCAGGGAAGCCTGGGTGGTATCATTCTTAAGGATGAAAAGCCTTACAGTCTTATTTGTTGGATCATATTTCTATAGTAGAACTCCTCTGATAAAATATCTTAGCTTTTAGTAGATATTTGGGGAAAGTTTGGAATAATGAGTGGGTTTAATATTTTAGGTGGATGCCAGTATAAAATGCCAGATGAAAACACCTGAGAATATCTTGCCTTCAGAACAGATGGGATTCCTTATTTCAGAAATGGGGCCTGCTAGCAAGCCTAGTGAAGACACAGGTTTATCCACTCCAGCCGGATACAGAGAGCGAAGCAACTCACAGCAAGGAAAGTCCCCTGGTAAGGATTATTGTGCTCTAGAATGTTAGCAGTAGAATCATAGTGTAGAATTAATATATGAGTGATAGTTTTTCTGGTCTTCATTTATTATTCGTAATTGTAATATACTAATCACATTGCTGTTTCATACAACTGCAATTTAAACTCTTTTATTTTTTCTTAATCATCCTTTTAAAGTACGTAAAAGTTATATTCCAGTATTGCATGTAAGAATATGAGCTTTTGAAAAGAGAACATGGTAAGTAAAAGCAAAGGAATTTGGATTATTTAACTTGGAGAATGCAAGGATGAAGGGTGATTCAATAACTGCTTCAGATGCCAAAGACTTTGTAATTACGGAAGTACTTGTTCTCTTATTAGCAGAGTATAGTACAAGAGGGAATATGCTTAAACTGTGGCAGGAAAAAAGTAGATGGACATTAAAGACGTTATCCTGAGCATATTATAAAGATACTCTAAAGTATGACTCTGTATCAATGGGATTTTTCTTGTGGTTTGTAGGAGCCCGAGTGATTGTTTTAGTACAGTTGCTGCTACTCTTTCTAGGGAAATTGGAAAGAATCATTTTTTTAAGAAAATGGTGACATCCAATAAAACATGTTTCTTGTATGATCCAAAACCAAGTCATCAAAGTCTTCAGTGGACAACTTGAATATTCTCAAATTATATGCATGTCAGAGGCATGCAATTCAGTGAATTAATGAATCAGGTTAAGCAATCATTTTAACCTATAAAAATTGGAAAAATCTTGGGAACTTCTGTGAGAATTTCTCCAAAAAGTAAACTAATAGTAATATGATCGAGATGTTGTTTAGACTCATTGGGTTCTTTCTGCAAAATGCCTTTTAGACTAAAAGCTATCTTGATCACTTATTTTATTTGTTAAACTTAGCTTGCACAGTTGCTTTTAGTTGAGTATATGATCCAATCTACGATCAAAGATTAAGATTTCTTACCACTGAAGATGTTCAAAGCAATGGCATAGACTTTGAAGGCAATTTAGAAAAGGACAGTGACGAATATTTACTACACACTCACTTTTATGACATACAGCAAACTTGATGAAACTGGTATTATCGTCTTAAAGATCAGGAAACTTAATCTTGGAGAGGATAAGTAACTTGTTCAAGATCACATTAATTTAGCTAATATTCTACTCACAGTCCTTCTGTTGACTGTGTCCTTTGATGCACAAAAGTTTTAAGTTTTATGTAGTCCCATTTGTCTACTTTTCCTTTTGTTGCCTGTGCTTTTGGTGTTGTATCCAAGAAAGCATTGCCAAGTCCAGTGTCATGAAGTTTTTCCACTATGTTTTCTTTCAGGAGTTTTATAGTTTTAGGTCTTTAGTCCATTTTGAGTTAATATTTGTAGACAGTGTAAGATAAGGGTCCAACTTTATTCTTTTGCATGTGGACATCCAGTTTTCCTAGCACCATTTGTTGAAGAGACCTTTCCCCACTGAGTGGCCTTGGCATCCTTGTTGAAAGTCATCTGACCATATATGTGAGGGTTTATTTCTGGTTTCTTTATTCCAGTCCACTGGTCTATTTTTCTGTCGTTATGCCAGTACCATATAATCTCTGTTTAACCAATCAATTCTGCCATTGTAGCACAAAAGCAGTCATAGATAATACATAAATGAATGTTTGTGGCTATGCTTCAGTAAAACTATTTACAAAAACAGTTGCTGGGCCCAATTTGACCCAAAGGTCATAATTTACCAACCCCTGAGTTAGACTAACAGTTTATTTCTGAAAAGCAACAGTGGAAGCCAGAAAGGAGTAGAATCATATTTTTAATATATTAAAAGAAATCTGCAGTCCTGGAAATCTCTACCCAGCCAAAAGATCCTTCAATAATGATGGCAAAAATGAAGACATTCTCAGATAAACACAAAATAGAGAGCATGTGCCACAGAAGATAAACAGTAAAGGAAATTCTACAGGGTGGTCTTCAGGCAGCAGGAAACAAGGAGACATACTGTAGCTTCTAGGGTAATCACCAAAATTGGTATAGAAATAATCCAAAAAAAAGGCAGGAAAGGAGGAAGCAAGGAATTAAAAATAAGGAAGACAGAGAAAACAAATAATAAAATGGTTGACCCAAATTTAGCCAATACAACTATTATATGTAAATGGTCTTAAAATCTCAAAGACAGAGATTGCTAGAGTACATAAAAGGGCAAACTCCTACTATAGGCTGGCTACAGGAGACATGTAGGTTGAAGGTAAGTGTATAGAAAAAGATACAACATGCAAACAGGAAGGATGAGAAGGCTGGTATGGTTATTTTTAAATATCAGAAATAATAGACTTTAAGACAAAGAGTGTTATAAAGAGGGCCACTTCATAATGAACAATTCATCAGGGAGGTGTATCAACTGTAAATGTGTTTTTTGTAGTAATAGAGTTTCAAAATACATGAAGCAAAAATTGACAAAAATTAAAGGGGGAGACACAATTCCTCAATGTACTAGGATATTTTAATACTTCTGTCTAAGCAATTGATAGAACTAGACAAAATATCAGTAAAGACATAGAAGATCTGAACAACATAAACACCTTGATCTAATTGGCATTTATAGTACACTGAGCATCCAACAACTGCAGAATATACATTGTTCTCAAGTGCATATAGTACATTTACCAGGATAGGTCATTCATTGGGCCATAAAACAAGTCTCAGTACATTTAAAAGAACTGAAGTCATACAAAGTGTACTCTCTGAATATAACAGGATTAAGTTAGAAATCAGTAACAGAGTAATTAGGAGAACCTCAAATACCTGGAAATAAAGTGACATACTTTTAAATAATTTGTGAATCAAAGACAAAATCACAAGGAAAATTAGAAAATATTTTGACAATGAAAATACAACATCACAGTTTGTGGGATGCAGCTAAAGCAGTGTTAGAATGAAATGTGTAGCTTTAAATGCTAATATTAGAAAAGAAGTAAGATCTAAAATCAATGACCTGAGGTTTTACCATACGAAACTAGAAAAAGAAGAGGAAAGTAAACCCAAAGTAAATACTAAAAATAAAAATAGAAATCAATGATATAGAAAATAGACAATTGAGAAGACTAACAAATAGTCTTTTTGAAAAGATCAACAAAATTGACAAACTCCTAACTACACTGATCAGGAAAAAGAGAACACAAATCATAACTACCAAGAATGAAAAGAGATTAACACCTCAGAATCTGTGAATAGTAAAAGGATACTAAGAGAATACTATGAACAGTCTTATATTAATGAACACAACCACATAAATGGAATAGCCAGTTCTTAAAAAGTACACCTTGTCAAAATTCACACAAGAAGAACCAATGAATAGCCCTATATAGATTAAAGAAGTTGGTTATCAAACATTTTCCTCAAAAGAAGAAAGAAAACTACAGACTAATAATCCTCATGAATGTAGATGCAAAAATAATTAACAAAATATAAGTTAATTGAATGCAACCATATGTAAAAAGGCTGATAGACAAAGTAGAGTTTGTCTCAAGAATGCAAGGCTTGATTGAATTTCAAATGCTAATGTTATTCACCATATTAACAGAGTAAAGGAGAAAAAACTATGATGATTTCAATAGATTCAAGGAGAGCACTTGACAGACTTCAGCACTCATTCGTAATAAAAACTCTCAGCAAAGCAGGAATAGTAGAACATTTCTCAAACTGATAAAGAATATCTATAAAATATGTATAGTGAGGATCATGATTAATAGTGAAAGACTAAACTGTTTACTCCAGAGATTGGGAACAAGGCAAGGATGCCCACTTTACCACTTGTATTCAGTATTGTACTGGTGGACCTAGCCATTGCAATAGGCAAGAAAAAGAAGTAAAAGGCCTAAAGATTGGAAAGCACACAATTGGAAAATGAAATTTAAAAAAAAATCAAACATTTATGGGAGGCCCAAAATCATAAGATACCTAGGAATAAGTCGAACAAAATATGTCTAAGGCCTCTACGCTGAAAACTACAAATTTTGCTGAAAGAAATTAAAGAAGACAAATAAATGGAAAGATGTGCCATGTTCATGGATAAGAATACCCAATATTGTTAAAGTGACAGTTCTCCCCAAGTTGATCTATAAATTCAATGCAATCCTAATCAAAATTCTAGTAGACGTTTTTTTCTTTAATGACAAGCTGATTCTAAAATTTAAAAGAAAATGCAAAGGACAGAGATTAACCAAAGCAATTTTTAAAAATAAAAAATTGGAGGAGACTTTACCAGATTTCAAGACTTACCATAAAGCTAAAATAATCAAAATCGTTTGATATTGGTGAAAAGAGGGACCTATAGATGAATGAAACAAAATAGAGAGTCCAGAAATAGATCCGCACATATGTGGTCAATTGATTTTCAACAAAGGTGCTAAGGCAGTGCAATGGAGAAAGGAAAGTGTTTTCAACAAAAATTAACATTGACCCATACCTCAGCCCGAAGGAGCAAGATGGCAGAGTAGAAGGATTTGTGCTCACTCCTTCTTGCAAGAGCAGCGGAATCACAACTAACTGCTGAACAGTCATCGACAGGAAGACGTTGGAACTCACCAAAAAAGATACCCCACATGCAAAGACAAAGGAGAAGCCACAGCGAGACGGTAGGAGGGGCGCAATCACAGTAAAATCAAATCCCATAACTTCTGGGTGGGTGACTCACAGACTGGAGAACACTTATACCACAGAAGTCCACCCACTGGAGTGAAGGTTCTGACCCCACGTCAGGCTTCCCAACCTGGGGGTCTGGCAATGGGAGGAGGAATTCCTAGAGAATCAGACTTTGAAGGCTAGCAGGATTTGATTGCAGGACTTCGACAGAACTGGGGGAAACAGAGACTCCATTCTTGGAGGGCACACACAAGGTAGTATGTGCATCAGGACCCAGGGGAAGGAGCAGTGACCCCCATAGGAGACTGAACCAGACCTACCTGCTAGTGTTGGAGGGTCTCCTGCAGACGCGGGGGGTGGCTGTGGCGCAATGTGAG